AAGGTTTGAACCGCGTTTCTTAAACCAAGAGGCATTCGTAGAAATTCGTAAAGACCGAAGGGAGTGATGATGGCGGTTTTAGGAATGTCGTCAGTTGCCATCGAGATTTGGTTATAAACTTTAACCAAGTCGATTTTCGAAAAGACCGTTGTACCTTTCAAGGTAGCTGTCAAATCGTGAATATGAGGCAGCGGGTAACGATCGGGAATGGTTTTAGCATTCAGACGCCGATAATCACCAGTTGGCCGCCAATCATTGCTGTCTCTTTTAGGAACCATGTGCAATGGGGATGCTTATGGACTATTCGATGGTCGAATTATCCCTAGATCCATCATGTGGTCGAATTCGTTTTTGGCTAACCTAAGCTTTTCGGGAGCGAGTCGACGGGTTTTCGAAAAGACAGGTGATCCTGTAGTCGAGATGTGATGTGTAACATTGCTGGTTACACAAGGCAATTTCGATTGCGATTGGTATATCCCGGGGTATTTGTCGAGTACTGATTGGTACAAGGGGTCTATAGTGTGCTTAATCGTGACTGGGGATAACCTGCAACCAGAACAAGGAGTTACGCAAACAGATAACTTAGTGTTTCCGTCTATTAACTTTCGTGAGCGTGTGTCGATGAGTAGATTGTGGTGTTGTAACAGGTCTATACCAATGATTGGCATAGAGACATCTGCAACCACGAAAATCCAGTGTATGGGTTTGCGTAAACCCACGTTAAGGTAGACGTACCTTTTACCGTAAGTAGCGATCGGATTTCCGTTTGCCGCCTGTAAACTTAAAACAGACTCGCGAAGACTGTCGTCGGGATTTGCTGGAAGAACGCTAACTTCTGCGCTAGTGTCGACGAGGTAGCGAACTTTCGTTGTCACACCTGTGACGTATAACAGACGGCTGTGTTCGCCGGCTACGGTTGCCGTTAATGCGTGCCGGCTGGGAAGTTTCCCGAACTGTTTTTCGTGTCACTCGATTTCGGGGTCGGATAATTGCAAGGTTTCCTGCAGTTTCTGGAAAACTTACCGTACTGGTTATGATACCAGCACCAGTCGGGGTTGTCTGTCTCTCGAGGTCGAGAGACAGATCTCTTACGTGAAACGCTCCTACGTAGGGATTTTGACCGACTACGGTCATTACGAATTCTAAGATATCTTGTAAGCGTGTGACATAGTTCGGCCATTTCAGTCGAGTTCGACTGGGGTTTTTCTTTGATGGAAAAAACCTCGGCTTTAGAAAATTTTGTGATTTCCAAGATTCGATCGGCAGATGCAACTAGTTCATCTATGGCATTGTTTTGAAATGAAACAAGCACTGCCTGCACCTGTTGAGGGAGTTTAGACAAGAAAAGTTGTCTAAATAGGCCATCGTCGAAAGTTCGTTGGCCGATGACTTCTCTCATTCTTAGCAACATGTCCGTCGCAGAACCATGTTGCAAGTCGATGTTATGGAAGAGTTGGTCTAACCGTTGTCGATCAGTTAGGTCTCCTCGTTTTAAAATCGATAGCTTAAGCGTTTCGTAAGGTTCGGGAACATCACTAGTAAACATACCTGTTAAACTCGCGCGGTAACGCCTTAACTACCGCGAGGAAACGTGTGCGCGAGTCCATGATTCCGTGCATGCGAAAATCGGCTTCTGCATACCAGAACCAGGACTCGATATTGTCGGGCCAAAATGGCGTTAACTGAATCGAAATAGGGGGAATAGACTTATTTTTGATTCGTTACCAATACATCGAGGACCTTTTCTATAAGCTGGCTAATGAAACGTAGGAGCTGTGTCCCACGCCGTGTTGAAACGTGATCTGGTACGGATGCATGACCGAAAGCCTTCAGCTAAACAAGTCCACTTAAACAACGTGGTCAGCATCCAATGTCGAACACTTAATGAACTATTGATTTTGTGGAATTATTTACAGCTACAACATAATTAGTGTAACTTGTTTGCCCTAAGTTACTAAGTGAAGGGAATTAGGGGTGATGAACAAAGAACCTACGTATAACTGTGAGACACCTGAATTTATCATCCTTTTTCTAGAAGGATAGGCCGGAATTGAGTGATCGACCCGAAAACCAGATTGCTAAAAGTTTATCGTCTACCACATGACTAAGGAAATCACCACAAGATGTACTTTCAATTAGTCTACAAACCATTTCAACATAGCCCAGAACACTCTTTCTGATATTGAAATTCTAGAACAACCGATTTACACGTGAATGATATTAAGATATTGTTTATTGAGGAAACTAAATGGTCATAAAGTTATTAACTAGTGCATATTTGCTGTCAAAATCACGTAGATGCTATACTGAGTTTTATTAGTGAGAATTATGATGTGATTACCAAGTAACATGTCATTCATAAAATCATTTTTGTTTGAATAGTTATGTTCCTACGGTGGCACATTTGATCGGCAACCGTGGTTGTTGAACATGGTAGGTTGGGTTATGGGGTCCATGGCCCTGTTTTGGTTACCAACTGAATTTTAATTTATCTTTGTGCAGAGTGAAAACACTTTAATCCGAACGAGGAAGTTTATGTCTAATCGCTTGCTATGTCGCAAGCAGATGGTCGTGGATATTCTGCACCCTGGACGTTGCGTCCTTTCAAAAAATGAAATTCGAGAAAAGCTTGCTAAGACCTATAAAACTTCCCCGGATGTCGTTTTTGCATATGGCTTCCGGACTCAGTTTGGAGGTGGCAAGTCAACGGGTTTTGCTCTTGTATACGATTCTCTGGATCATGCCAAGAAGTTCGAAATGAAATACCGTCTTGCTAGGGTAAGACAACTTATTATCAAGCGGGATTTTGTAGAATAAACTAGTGACAGTTCCGCCAAAAGGAAGAAAGTTAAGGAAAGAAAGGAAAAACAAGGCCAAAAAGATTCGAGGAACCAAAGTGAAGAAATCAAAGAAGGACTCTTAAATCTGTACTTTCTCGAGAATAAATGGTTGGTTTAACCTAACTCAAAAGTTTTTTCTCTTAAATGCTTTTAATGTAAGCTGTCAATCTCAGGGTGGATTTTATTTATAAGTTCTTGTGGGACACTGCGTATATGGATAGGTAGGTAGATAAAATGCGCTGCGCAACCAGTTCATAAGAGCTTACTTAAACTTTATCGGTTTATTTCGATAGATATTACTTACCCACTCACTAAACATTTTGACTCAGCGTTCAAATTCTTGACTGTTGTATGAGTAATAATACCTATCGATAGTTTTAGACGATGCAGGTAAATACTAAAAAACATCAATCATTAATATATTCGACAACAAAGTTGTACGACGCCATGGGGTGTTTCGTCTAGCAAAAGGACACTTCTTTGGGGTTGATACAAGTTTCGTATATGTTGAAAGACGGAGTGCCGCGTCGTTGTGACTTGTGAAGAATGTGATATTTCTCTAGTATTTATTCATTGTGTACTAACGTAATCGGATGTGAATATTCAGTAATTCGCTATCGCTGCATTTTTTCGGCACGTGTTGGAAATGTCTGGGCATGGTTGGTGCAGTAAGACGTTAAATTATCTAAACTAACGCAGATGTATCATTTGCCAAAGATGTTATGTAATAGTGACCTATTCGTAGTGTTGTTGGAACGCTAATCCGAATGGAGCCAGTATGAAATATTAGTCCCAGCTACTATCTGTCACAATCGCAAACTAGTCATCGTATTTGTGACATGATAATCATTGACTGTAAATCACAGCATATCTATCGCTTCCACATAAGGCATTTCGAAAGGAAACGCGGCATTGGATGTTATTAAAAGAAATGGTTTGAGGCATGCTTATTCTTTTGGGAATGCGTGTTAACTTATGTAGCTTGAATGTTTCATTCTGGTCATCTCAAACCGAGTCTAGCGAGATGATGAAGATTTTTAGCTCGGGTGGATTTTGTTTGAGCTTTGTTCTGAGCTAAATGATTTGGTCGTGTAGCTTTCATCGTTATTTTGGACGACATCATCGGTACTTTCACCTAAAGTTTGTGCTAATGAATCTAGCAAGCTTGGGACTCCGTACACGATGCAGGCAAGGATGACTTCATACCTTCAACCTCTGCAGCCCGATAATTATGGGTCTAGCACTGCCGAGGCTAATGAAGTTATGAAAACAATTTGTTCACTCCAGTATTATGGTTTTAAATATTCTCTGGTGATAACCAAACGTCATGCCTAGTTTTTGTGTACCTTTTGAATTAGTCCTCATGTTACAACCGGATGAAAAGGTTGTGTGCTAATAAATTTCATCTTGTCCATGTGTATCAATATTATCTGCAGGCAACAGTATTCGTTGGGTTTCGTTCTCTACTTCCCACCAATGCTAGCGCTTCAAACTCGTGTTACTTTTGACTACCGGGAACCACGCTCCAAACTACTTAATGGAGCTTCCAGTATTCGAACAAGGCTGTTGCAACTGTACAAATTAGTCTCTACAGTCGTCATAAGAAATAGGTGGTTAGCATTAGAATAATATCAGTCATTGATAATTTTCGTATCAAGTACTACGGATACTGCCCTGTGGAACGGAGTTCACACGTGATCTAGTTTAGCTGAGTGCTTCGAACACTAGTTAAAATGATGACGTTGCAAAGACACAAGAATCCCAGTTCTGACCGCGAAAGTGGGATAAGCATTTATACTGCACAAGGGATTCTATCAACCAATGTTTATTGGTGTTTTCTCAACCAATGATAAATTGTAGTGAAAATGATCTTTGGTTCTCCAACCCATCAACTTTTATAATTAATCGACTGAATATTTATATACAAATTTAGTTATCCGCTAGTTATTTACATATGAGGCAAATAGTGTAGTCTAAAAATAGCAGAAAACAAATCGCACAACTAGTCTATAAAGATGAATCAATCCAGAAAGGGATTTTGAAGTACTGTTTCAACAAACTAATCTCAATCGGTCCAGTATTTTCTCAAGCCAAAGATTCATTCAATGCTTTGTAAATCTTTCTGCGGTGTTTTCCCCTCAGTCTTTGAACAATTACCAGTTAGGTGTTAATGCACTGGATTTTGTTATGTGGTGAGATTGGAGCACATAATGCTGCTGATATACATCTAAGTCTTTCTTGTGTAGCTTTTCTTGAATTTTCTGCTTCTAAAAGGATCGTGCGCATTTCTGATTCCACCTGTTTTAAAATAGGATAAAAATAAAGAATTTTCTTGTCAACATGATAAAACTACTGTCTAATTGGCTCTGAATGTTCGAAGAAAGTTACAGTTCCGAAATATAGAATCCGGCTTAAGAGTGTGTTAGTTCAGATTGTTGTATTACATTTTTAGGGACTGAAAACTCAGAAAATAGGAATTATAATGTCCATGAAATTAAATATCGTGTTCTAGAGCAAAATAGTAGGATTCTTGATAATCTAACTAACAAATAAAATCATCTATTTATTTCGAAAATATTAGCGTCGATTCAGATTTTATTGAAAGTAGGTCGTTTACAAATCTACATTGGCTAAAAGAATATCTTCTGGAACCAAGCCTCGATTCACCTTTTTATACGTTCCGCTTGAAGCACGGCTATGTGCATCTAGACCTGTCAAATGCTTCTGTTGAGCTACGCATATCAGTCGTAGTCGGAGATTTTCTTTAACTTTTATACAATAGTTTATCTCTGCATGGTTTTATAAGGATAAGAGAAAACCATCGACGAGTTTTATGTAACGGACTATGATTTAATCTAATCAACCTATGACTAGAAATACTTAACGTTTACAAAGATTTGTCGACCATCCACTCCTTAGAGCTATAAGTTTTAAGTATTCATGGTTGGAAAATTGACTATCGTTTATAAAGCAAATGTTTCTAATTATTTGTTTCAACTCCTGTTATAATTTGGAACTCACGACTGGTTTTGTACTTCCAGAGCTTTTTTCTGTTAAGTGCCCTGGTACGGCGGAGAGTGGGGAGAGTCCGCTCCCTCTCGAAATACTCTCACATGGCCACGCGTATATAGCCACTGCCTTGTGGCATTACTGTTGTTTACGAAATTAAGAGAACGGAAAGCGAATGTCCGCTGCTTTAGCCGGGTTAGTGGACACAGAAAGTTCACCTACGGGAGTTGGAAAACCCTGATTCCAAACCAATGGTGCGCATCGGCTCCAGTATCCTGAGGGGTAAATGGCGTATGAATCAATCGTTGGTCACCGGTTACCATGGGACTGCATCTCCTCACAATGCTTCACTGCGTTGTGGACCAGACCCTCAGGTCAAAGGCTCCGGTTGTGGCCCCCTAAGGAAACCACCTGCTTCAGTTTGGACACCTGGGCAGTATCACAGCCTTCACACAAGTCGAATGAGATTTGTGCGGCGCATATGTATCTGGTGCCACTTTGTACCAATATTTATGTATTTAGATAAATAAATAATAAATTCTGTAAAGTTACTTGGTCAGTCAGTATGCTAAATCTTGATGTTGATTCTTTTCCCTAATGTAATATTATTTTGAGTGATATGTTATTTGAAAAATTCGCTATTACTCTCGAATTCATAAGAAGTGGTCAGTTTTCGTAGAGTGGAGAATTAGTTGTGATACTGTTGAAGTTCTAGGGTTAAAGTACTCTGTTAAGATGCCACTTCACCTACTTTAGTACAAGCAACCAGTTATTGTCATCCTCATATGCAACCTTTCATATATTACTACCATTGAAGTAACTACTTCTATGAATTTGGTGCTCATCTTCTTGTGCTAATGAGGTGTGGCAACTTGAACCGATGCATATATATGGCTGGTCCTGTGTTGCAGCTGACTCAATGTCATCAATATTCACTCCTCAAGTGTAGCTCAAAGACTAGTACACAGACTTGTACTTGGTAAGTCGTTTTCATCTGCTGTTTAACTTGAAGAGTAGTTAACTTCAAGTGTTCTCTGATCAAAAAAATTAGTTAATTGGACAATATTATCTAAATAGTTATACTTCAAACTATGAAGAAATAATCGAGAAATCTATAAAACAATTTGACTTTCTCATATTCTAAGCCGGGTTTTTCCTTTAGGAACAAGTAAACTTACTTCAGCTACACGTGCTTCACAAGCTATACGTAATTGTTCTGCTTCGTTCTTCACACGATTCACTGTCAAATCTTTCATTTCTTCAGTAGATGATAGTTGTTGACGAAATCTTTCGTCCATAATTTGCATTTGTGAATGTAGTTCACTTGTAAAAAATGAAGATGAATTAAGTGACATGTGTGCATTGATGCGAATAGATTGTTTAAAATAGTAGACAAACTAACATCAAATAAGTAAGTGTACGGTATGTATTTTGCTGGTGAAAAAAGATGAAAAAGGGAATCTAGTTTCATTTTCATTATTACCAAGACACTTTCTTGTTATGACTTGACCTAGCCGTCGCCAATTTGTTATGTTTTTGACCTAGGCGGTAGCCAATTGTTATGACTTGATCAAGGTCGTCGCTGATTCGTTATGACCTTACAAATTTAACAAGGACGTAATCCGCGTAAATTATCCACCAATAGAATACGCCTTCTACAACCTTCACACTGTGACAATGACGTTCGATTAGTATGAGTAATCTAGCGTCCTTATTGGTCCTTATCCGCCTAACCCGTCCACTTGAGTTCAAAACACCAATAGCAGCTGCTGTAATGCGAATCGTTTATTTCAAGCATACTTTGTTTGTATATCAGACAGACAGGCCACATCCACACCATAAAATAGAAAATAATATTTGTACAAAACCAGGCCAAATGAGGCTGTAAGTGTGGGAGACAATAATCAATAAAACTGAGTATAACATAGGGACAGTAAATCACATAGTAATAATAAATAGGTCAAAATAAAGCTTAAATAATCTAGTTACCGAATAGTCATACAATAAGAATGATAGTCCAATAGTAGGTCCTGCAAGTTACCCGTACTTATGTCTTCGCTACTACATAACATTTCCTAATTCTTTTCTGTGAGAATGTTCTTAACACTGCCAAAAGGGTCAAAGTGACTGATTTTTGTATGCTTTCTGGTCTGAATGACGCATCAATATAAGTATCTGATAGGTTGGCCGTTCAGTAGTTTACATTTCTAGCCTCAATGGGTTCCATATGTATATGAAGGTTCGCTTTGTGGACGCAGTTTATTTTACATGATAAATACATAATTCCAACTAGGTTTTATACAAAAATTCAGTCAAAATATATAAAACAAGCTCACCTAATTTCTTTTCGTGCTGTATCTCGTTCGTCAATTAGAAGTTTTTGTTCTTCATCCCAATTACTACGCATTTGTTCTACTTGTTTTTCTAACTTATCTATTAAACTTGTACGATCGCGCCAACGCTGTGACATAGATCTATTGTTAAAAAGAATCCAAAAAGAAATACCGTATTTTCAAGGGATTTAGAAAGATGAAAACGTCGAAAGGAACTTAACAATGGAAAATATTAGCTAGGAACGACCAATAACTTGGAATGGTTGATTAGGGATGGTTTGTTTATCATCCTATGAAGTATTAAGTCAAAAGGTCAGGCGGGTCTTTATGGTAAACATCACTAAACATATATAAGTTCATCACTTATTTCCGATTGGTATATAATTCTCCTGTTTGAACATTAAAAACATGAAGTTCAGTGAAGAGATCTCTTTTCAACGAATATCATACTAAACTGTTAAAATATTAGTTCGAGCCGATATCCTTAATTCAATAGTAAACTTATTCTATTGTTCTTTTATTGTTGTGGTACTCATTTAACGTTTGTAGGTCTGTCTACTCAACTTTAAGCCACATTGTTGGTTGGATGAGGGCTACTGTTACCATTGCTTAAATCGAAGTCGTTACCACTAACCTTTAAACCAGTGGTTTGTTGTTTGACGATCAGATGGTTTAAAAACCAAGCCACTGTTCATCCCTTCATTTTAGTTTCATATGAAGTATTCTAATGAATCATAGTTTGTGATCTATTCTGATGACGTATGTATGTCAAAGGAGAATAGATATCACTTTCTCTACGTTGGTTAGTATTTCAAGTAAAAAAAGTGTTGTTGAAATTCAGACTAATCCTAGTTACATGTTGTTGTAGATTTGAGTACAGACATCATCAGGTTCATTCGAACTATAGGTTTTCATTCTACTTTAGTGACAATCTGTGTAAAAATTTTTTGCCTTATTTAAAAAATCATTCTAAACGGAACGATCTACATGGATAGAATTTCCTACAAGATCAGTTGAATTAAGATAAGAAAATGTAATGTTGGAATAGATAAATTAATAGTGACCTCCAAACACCGCTGTTACGGTTTGTAATTGGTGAATATGAAGCAAAAATACTACTTCAAATACAGTACTGGTTCAAATGATACTAAACAGATTGTTGACTAATACACAATAATACGTCAACAGTATCGAATTCACACAAGATAAAGTAGTAAGATAACGAGGAAGATTTTACGCTTTAAGTGAAGACAAATAATTAGATATTTCAATATATTGTCATCTAATACAAAACAGCATAACCAATAGAGAATATACATCCATCACATGGTACTGATACGTCACAAGTAATAGCTATTGCTGTAGCAGTTTCAATAACAAACAACCCATCAGTGATAAAGTTATTTCAAGTTAGGCGGAGAATATTGGACAGCAGAAATTCCACATAAAATCGTTTTGTACTTCGTTCAGCTCAGTTCTTGTGGATCCACAATGATCAGAACCAGTGAACAGTGACGCGAGAGATAAGCAATGAAATCATAAAAATAAGGATGAAAACTCACCATTCAGTTGAGTTTATACATTAAACAAGGACAGATATTAAAGAAAATTAACCAGTTTCATTCTCAAGTAAAGAATAGCTTAAAGACTGTACATGGTTTAATATCGAAACGTGAGATGTAAGACACTGGTTGAGAAAAGTTTGTATTTTAAAAAATGCATTACTCGTTTCACATGGGATAAAACAGACTTTAACTGTCAGTATATAGGAACTATCTTAACCTTGAAACTCATCAGTATAGTGAATTCTTACGAATCACTTTGTATAGAATAAAAGATGGATGCTCAGATCTTCAGAATAAAACTTTTCTACAGTCAGGCAATTACAGATTGTGATCCTAATTTTTTCAACTACAAATGTTTGCTGACAATAGACACTTTTGAGCTTCACTATTTCCCTAATACTTCAAGGCCATGTTTGATTTTTAAAAAAACTAAATATCAGTTTTAAATACTGTAGCAATGAATAAACATAAAGAAGTCATAAACAATAGAAATCAAACAGACCAAAATATGAAAATGGAACTTTCGACTGATACCTATATTCACTGTGTTATGTTCCAATAGGGATAATGAATGGTAACTTTGGGATCAATTTATGGACCAATATTATGCATATATTTTTTATTGTATATTTGCTAACTAACTAAACTATTCATGTTCCTGTTATCATGAACTTTATTTTAAACTATAAACTATTGTTATACGATTTACCATTCATGAATTACACCCAGTCTATTGATTACTGTTCCCCTTATTCACAGCCACATTTGGCTAAATCTTGTACAAATGTTATTTTCTATTTTATTGGTACGATGTGGTCAGTTTGTTTGCTATATAAACTCAATATGTTTGAAATACAAGGATTCATACCACAGTTGCTGTTCTGGACTTAAGTGGCTGGGCTAGGCAGAAATCAGGACCGATACGTACTCTAGACTACTCGTACAATTTCCGTATGCCATTGTTCCAGTCGATAATTCATTGTTCACTAATTAGCGGTTTTATCACGTCATATGTTAACACGGCATCCACTCGGCCACAAGTTATAACACACTGCTTTTCATCTCTGATTGTTTCACAGATAATATCAAACTTAATAATGTAAAATAACTTTAAGAGAAATTAGAATAATGTGTTTTAAACCATAGAAAGGAATAATTACTCATTTTGCTTTTGTAATTCATCTACTTTTGATTGTAAGTCAGCAACCAATAGTTTCAAATCTTCTTTGCGTTTAACAAGACGTTTGATTTCATCCTGATATTGATTGAATAAAGAAATTGAATAGAACAATAATTACACATAGTTTGTCAAATAAATACGCTAAGTACGGTTATAAAATGTTTATTTTACGAAATGTAGAGTAGATTAACCCTACACAGTATAGTTATATTTCAATAATCTCAACGATTGAAGCCTATATAAACTCCGACATTCCGCTCGACAAATTAGTTCGAGCTTTTTTAGTAAAATAATCAAAGATTTTGATAATAACGTTGGAATTTTCATAGTTGAAAGCGTGAGTCATTTGAAGCTAGACCACCAGGAAAAACCTGGAAGCACCGGACGGCCGTTTCATCTTATTATGGGACTCCTCAGAAGTGCGCATCCACGACCTCGCCTCGCGAGATTCGAACCCAGGACCTACAAGTCTTGCGCCAGAGCACTTAACTATGAAAATACTACATCTCCACAAAAACCCCCTTCGGATAATAACGTTGGAATTACTTAAATTTCAATCATTGGGACCATTAACATATATCTTCTATATAATCGGAAATCAATTTCTGTCAAACATTGAAAAGTGTTCATATAAATATATTAATCTTATATTGTTGAAATACATTTGTCCCATCTGTTTCCAACTCTTGGGGAGTTAGGCTCTTCGGCTGTCCCATCGCTGTTCTGAGCTAAATGATCTCCATATTGTCCTGGTACTGATTAACATGACCATTTTGCATTTTGAGAGCTAGAAGAAACCCTCAAGGAGATCATGTCCGATATTTTGATTTTTTATTTATTCTTTTAGCTAACTTAGTTAGTAGTTTGACTCATTTTCTTATTGGAGAGACCATGCAATTCCATATTTAACAATTCAGTTTATAAAAGCATATAATTTGAAGAGTAGTAGGTCAGTATTTACCGAAATTGAACAATTTATAATTAATTGGAGTGTTTCACAGCATAATTAACTTAGAGTCTGTTCCAAACTTGATATAAAATATATTTCAGTGCAACCAACCAAATTAGCTCTAACACAGTGCGTTCTCTTTTAAGCTTGACTTTAACCCAAGAGATAATTGAGCGCACACTGCTTCAGCACAGTAAACTCGTGTTTTATTTTGGAAATGAATATCTAGTCTAGACCAAATGTGACGCAAGTTGGCAAAAGTCAACCGATATTTTGTCAGACATTAACCTACCAGGGGTGATGAGATTTCCTAGATAAGTAAAGTAGTCAACACGTCTAACCACTTAATTCCCTATTATTACTTTAGATGTTGAAGCAAACCAGTCTTGAAGTAACATTTTACATTTAGATTGAGAGAAACGCATTCTAAACATGCTTGCATTGTTATCTAAGGTGGTCGAAAGGCTGCATTTTGTCACCGTCTTCACCGAATAGGGCTATGTTGCTGGCGTATTCTAAGTTGGAAAGAAAATCTGGTAGTAAAAAAACCCCTGGAAAGTCATACGGTGTCTATCATCTCTAAAAGAATATCTATTAAAGAGCAAAAAGTGGGGAGAGGGGACGACCCAGACGAACACCAATTGTGATTGACAATTCTGATGACAGTTCGCCATGAACTCTGACTCGATCAGCGGTGTTGGTGTAGACAGCTTGTCCATGGCTGTTGTACTTCTTTGTTACGCCTTTCAATGATATATACTGCTATAAAAGCTAACGATCTACGGAATAGAACTCTGCCTTATTGTCGAGAAATACAATTTGGGTTGGGAGTCGGTAGATATATCTGTGAACCAGAACATGAGGAATGGCTAATATTTGATCAATATATCCACTCCCACGTCTGAAAACAACATGGTTTTCCCGATTTTTCCCTTGGAAGACCTACTTAAGCGTTGAGTAATTATTGAGGCTAATATTTGGGACACACGTCAGCCAAACTGATTTCCCTATGTTCTCTACAAGCGCATTTTGAGTAATAAGGAAAATGAAGTCAATAAGCATGAAAAGCAAACGAAGCCAAAATAATGTGTATCGGTCACATTTGAGCCACTATAATCGATACTGCGACACTAGTTAACGTTTGAAGGTGTAGTTTGCTCTGATTTAGACAATTTATTGGAAGCTCTTCCAACATATTAACGATTATTATTAAATTATGTTTATTCCTCTGGACTAGTCAGATAAAAACTCATTGATGTTACTGACCAATCTTGCATTGATGATGTTTGGTCTTTTATTAGGTTAGTTCTACTCCAGGTCGTTATATCTTATGCCGAGAGTGTGGAGAGTCATCTCTCCCTCTCGAAATACTCTCATATGGCCAGCGAATATATAGCCTCTGCCAGGAAAGTCCTACTCACTGCCTTCTCGCACTACAGGTGTTGTTTACGAAAGTGAGAGGACGAAAAGCGAATGTCCGGCGCTTTAACAGGGTTGGTGGATATATGGAGGGTCCACCTAGGGGAGTTGGAAAACCCAGATTCCAAACCAGTGGTGCACATGGGCTCCAGTATCCTGAGGGAACAAATGGCGTACGAATCAACCGTTGAATCGAATGAGATTTGTGAGGCGCATATTTATCTGATGCTTCCTTGTACCAATATTTATGTGTTTAAATAAATAAATAATCTTATGTTGAGGCAGAAGAGAAATCGGACTTGTGTAACACATGCTTCATACAATTGTATTCAAACAGATTTTCGACTGTACTTATTTATACATCATATTTGGGTGAAATTCTCCACTTTACTAAGACTGTATCAGTAAAAACAATAGTAGTATTTATACGAAATAATCCCCTCACCTAATCAAATTTAATTTATTCTTAAAGAAATCAGTTTTTTGAGAATCATCAGAAAGGTAGCAAACGGATGGGAGACTTTTTGTTTAAGGTACTAAAAAGTACATTAAAAATAAGGGATCATATTAACCAAAGCCTATTAGATTAACGTTAAAAAGAAAAGAAGGAAATGTAAACACACATCAATGTAAATTCATTAAATAGGAAGAATATGTATTTGCAAAATCTCAGCGAATGAATTTGAAGTAAATCCAACGTTTCGCCTGGCAATCTGATCCAGGCTTTTTCAAGAAAACAATCATGAGTCAATTGAAGCTAGACCACCATGGAAAGCTTGAAAGCACTGAACGGCCGCTTCGTCCTATTGTGGGACTCCTTAGAAGTGCGCATCCACGATCCCACCTCGCGAGATTCGAACCCAGAACCTATCAGTCTCGCGCGCGAGCGCTTAACCTCTGAATTTGTTAAACAATTAATTGGAACATTAAAATAACACAAATATTCAGTTTCAAATTACATTCTTCCTCTTCGAATTCATTCTTTTATTTTTTTATTAATCTTCATTTTATGCATCCTGTGACATATGATTCATAACATATATATAATATTGTATGCTTTCTTAAACATTCACCGACAGGAGATAATATATGGTGAATGAAATTTCTCCTCTCATCACTTACGTTATCTTAACACTTATCGTTTCACATAACAAGTCTCTTACACACCAATACATATACCTACTTTCAACATTTTTAACGTTGATTGGATGACCTATTCAGTATACAATGAACAGGAGAACCATGTGCCTATATTATATTCGATAATCTTGATGTTTGATTATAATTCCTTGAAAAAGCTTAAACCAGATTGCCCAGCGAAACGTTGTATTTACTTCAAATTCATTCGCAGAGATTTTACAAATGCATATTCTTCTTCCTATTTAAAATGTCTTACATCAACTGGGTGCCCAAATACTGTGATGCAACTATTCCCTCTAATTTAAACGAAAGTTTTTATATATCAATGTAAATGATTTAACTTACATCCAATTCTGTATTTTCTTGAATTTTCTGTTTTAATTGATTTTCTAAATTATGACGATTTTGTAGATTTTCATTTTGTAGTCGTTTTATTTCAGTTTGATTCTCTTGAATAGACTAAATAAAAGATTTTTTTTACAACAAAACAGTTTGTTATTCACGTTATTTTCATAGTTGAAATCACCAGTCAATTGAAGATAGACTACTATGGAGAACCTAGAAGCACTGGACGGTCGTTTCGTCCTATTGTGGGACTCCTCAGCAGTGCGCATCCACGATCCCGCACTCGCGAGATTCGAACCAAGGACCTACCAGTCTCGAGCCAGAATCCTTGAGTTCTAGTGGGAAGCAGTGGCCAGTGGAGTTTAACCAGTTCTGTTGTAGAGATATCAACTCACTGAAGACAATTGGTGAACGGTTGCTCAACTTCGTGGATCAGTTGAAGTCAGACATTAACACCATCGGGAACCGGCTCAGTAGTCTATCGGTTAAGGGCTCTGGCGCAAGACTGGTATGCCCTGGGTTCGAATCTCGCGAGTGCGGGATCGTGGATGCGCACTGCTGAGGAGTCCCACAGTAGAACGAAACGGCCGTCCAGTGCTTTCAGGTTTTCCATGGTGGTCTAGCTTCAATTGACTCATGATTTCAACTACGAAAATACTGAAATCTCCACAAAACCCCTTCTGATTCACGTTATGTTGTATCCAAGATATCGATTTTAATGTGCTGAAATTCTTTATGGAAGCAATTCTTCCCGTCAAAGACGCTTATTCCTATTGGTTAATGATATATATATATATATATATATATATATATATATATATATATATATATATATATATATATATATATATATATATATATATATATATTAGGTTAGAAAGAACAATAGGGGACTGTGATGGTCATTCCTGTTTGAATCGAAGTAAGAAGTTTCTAATAGTAAAGATAATCTGTATTAAACTATACTATTCACTTAAAGGTTCCCTAAAATGTTTAAGGTTTCCACTGTGACAATACTTCTAAGCTCTTCCAGTAGAGATCCTGATCAAGATTTATTACTAAATAGAATCCATGATGCATTCACACGTTTTTTGAAGTCAAACATCTTCAGTTATAACTGATGCAGATTTTAGATTTTTCTAACATTTTATCTAGTAGTTTTGTTGGTCTGTAAGCAATTTGCCGATTATAGTCAAATTCACGACTCACATTTTATCCTTTTTGTAAATCATAAGCTGAATGTACCTGCATCCCTGTGTTGGTATTCACACTAAGACCTAAACCTGGTACCTAATGATTTGAACGGTCAAGCGTTATTTTCAGAACTAATATCGATGAAGCATTCTTAAGATTTAACAGGGTCATTTACATTTTTGTTCTCAAACGATCTCTAGAAAGATTTTGGTTGGTTGAATACAGATTATCTGATATAGATGAAGAAATATTCAGTTTTTCGAAGAAAATATCAAAATAATTTCTTCCAGTTTCTAATTTATCGTTAACACGCAGTAGAATGTCTCCTTTACTAAAATTATAGGCTTTATTGATACTAGTTTCAAAATAAGGGAGTATAGTGCTGTTATGAAATATGTTCAAAGTCCCAACCACATAGATGCTGTCAGGTAAACTTCTTTGTCTTCAACTCTTAATTTTATATCAGTTAGATCTCAACTATCGATTCTTTTTCTGCGATTTTCATATAACTAAGATATACGTTCAGTGATAGCGTCTCTCTGTGGTACTGGGTTCGAATCTCGCAGGAGGCATCAGTTTCACAAGAATTTCGGGTATCGCGCTGACAACTGCTAAATAGTATACAATCTAGATTTGAGGATTTCCACTAACTACCTTCAAGAGTCTGATAGTCAGTTTGTGGTAAATTAACTAGTTGCTAACTTTTAAAAAGATCTGTATAGTCAATTTCCCAATGAGTATTTTTTAAACAGTATAAGCTACCGTAAAATGAACAAGAATGCAATAAAAAATATCTTCAAAAACCCAGTATGAAAAAGCTGCTGAATTCTTAACCTTAAAAGGCCTGATCACTATGAGCGTGATTCTATCACAAGTACACAGTAACAACGTTTTTTCCAAGCCATATGAGTGGAAATTTGTCACTGATAAGCCGAGTAGAAGTATAGCCCTGTTTTTCGATCCGGACCAAATATCGGTTATCAGTCATTGTCTTGGTCAGTGATTGTCTATTGAAACACATTCGTCGGAGATTTAGTGATTGGATTCTCAATGAGTAGATTATCAGTTGGGTTAAGTTTTTCATTTCAATGATTTCATGTGTTCATTGCCACCTCACATAAAAAGGATACGCAAAACATAGGATGGTAAACTACTAATCAAATAAATAGTTATCAGTATGGGGTTGTAGAGATAGTTGAATGTTATGGAGATGACTAACCGATTCAAGTTATACCACCATCCAAAATCTGGAAGTAATGAACAGCTGTTTTATCTTAGTATGGGACTCTTAACTACTGCGTATCCACTACTCCGTCACTAGAGATAGAACCCAGGACCCCAACCATTTCAAAGCTATCTTGGAGAAGAAATTTACGGAGTTCTATTAAAAAACAATAGCCAGTCGAGCTGTTGAGGTTGAGGTAGGTATCCACCAAAGACAATGAAAGATAGTTGCTCAGTATCTCTGACTGATTGAAATGAGACTTGTACACCATTAGATCCAGGTTCAATGGTCTAGAATTTGAGCGTTCGTGCAAAACCGAAGGTCGTGGATGAGCACTGTTGAGGAGTCTTATATCAGGACGAAATAAGTGTCCACTGCTTCTAATTTTTCAATGATTATTTACTCATGCTATTACTTAAATTTTACTGAAACTTACCTTTTTTAAGTTCAATATTGTCTCTGTTTGGTCATCAATTACTTTACTCTTGATTTTAACAGAGTCATTTTCATTCTAAAGATAAATAGTAAGTAAAAAATTAATTAGATATGCTCTGACAATTTCAATTTGTATCAGAATTTAACCTGGTTACACATCTAGTTGTTTATCAGCCAAGATATTAAATCACATACCAGTAACGGAAGATATCACATATGAATGGGGAATTTTAATTATTAACCATCTGGCATCTGATAATGAGTCACTAACGGTTATTGTCTCACTTATTTACAATAAACCATAGAATTTCATATCTTTGTGTTATGCCCCGATAACAATAGTGAATGGCAACTTTGGGATCCATTTATGGACCAATATTATGCATAGAATGTTTATTGTATATTTGCTAAATAATTAAACTATTTATATTCATGTTCCTTTCAATCTGAGCTTTATTTTGACCCTTGAACTATTATTGTACGACTTACTATTCCTGAGTTACACTCAGTCTATTAATTACTGCTCCTCACATTCACAGCCAAATTTGGTTAATTCTTGTACAAATGTTATTTTCTATTTTATCGTACGATGTGGAAAAGGCGATAAGTGTGAATATGAGCTTGACTCTAAGGTAAGTTTATATACAGAAAATCGACAGCGTTAACAGATTTATTAAATGACCTCGAACATCTAAAGATTTCTGAAGACACAATAAACATACGAATGGTATAGATAATTATTCAATTAAAAATATAACAAGTCACCCTTCACTTTCCAAATGTTTTTGAGAAACTACTATGCAATGCTGATTGGATAAAATGGTTCTAGGTATGTTTTGGGCATCTGTTAAGTTAGACAAGTGCTAGGGTTAACAAACTAACGTTAAATAATACGACATAATATGAAAATAAACAACTAATACCAGATTGATGTCAAACAATTGCTAAATGCTGTAATTTCTTATAGTGATTAGATTAACATTAATTCACGGTAGAAGCAACTACAAATCTGACAAGTGTTTTTGAACAATAATTAAAATTATCAGAAGGGGTTTTTTGTGAAGATTTAGTATTTTCATAGTTTTCACAGTTGAAGCTAGACCACCAGGGAAAACCTGTAAGCACTGACTGATGGCCGTTTCGTCCTATTGTGGGACTCCTCAGCAGTGAGCATCCATGATCCCGCACTCGCGAGATTCGAACCCAGGACCTACCAGTTTCGAACCAGAGCACTTAACCGACTCAGTGGTCTATCGATTAAGTGCTCTGGCTCGAGACTGGTAGGTCCTGGGTTCGAATCTCGCGAGTGCGGGATCATGGACGCTCATTGCTGAGTAGTCTCATAATAGGACGAAACGGCCATCAATCAGTGCTTCCAGGTTTTCGCTGGCGGTCTAGCTTTTAACAATAATTAAAAGTCAAGTATTAAATGAAATAAATTATGTTGAAATAAAAGGAACATACTTCAAGAGATTTTTTGAGACTGGCTATTTCTAATTCTTGAGCTTCAATTTTAGCTTCCAATCGTCCACGATCTTGAGCTAAAGCTGATCCTAACATATAAATATATCAAGAATTATGCCAGCAGTAATTAATATGATAAATCAAAAACGTTATATTGAAATCATGTATTTATTGTAGTAAAGAAATATACACGTTAAAGTAGAAAACACACATTCGAACAATATAGAATAGCTGTAATCTACAGGTTTACGCACTTTTGTTCGTCGAAGAAAAGGATCAGAGAAATGAAGGACTATTCTTAGAAAAATATTAGGACTATGGTTGGTAGTTGTATAGAGGATGCATATTTTATCCCATTTGAAACTTGTCAGATGGAGGAAGTAATCCGCGTAGGATGTATAGATCTCAATAAAGATTGACCAAAGTTTGTTATTGAATTTTAATAATGGGATAACTCAAACTTTTATAAACAATCAGTAATCTTGAGATGGTGGAGAAGATTTGTAGCTCAGGTGAATGATTTGATGGAGTTTCGTTCTGCACATGTGGAGAAACTCAAATACTTCACTTCTATTCGACGTTTGTGCTGATGATGTCGTTCAGAAGGACCGTGAAAGCTTCACGACCAAACCATCCAACTCAGAGAACAAAACTCCATCAAAACAATCAGTAATCATCTAACTATTTCAGTGAGGAGAGTTGACTTCATCAATAGCTCACCGATTATTAGTGTACATGTCTTTGACTGATAATTTATGGATAAACCATGAGTAAAATAAATGTATTCAAAAGAATAGATGAAAATTTGTGGGATACAATAAATAAATGGCGGGACTTTTGACCTTAAGAAATGAGGAATAAGTGATCAAAGAACTTTATATTAATTGTATTAACTTGGAATCATAATAGAATTCGTCATGATTTTAATCATTATTTGTTATTTAATAGTTGAATTCATGAGTAAATTAAAGCTACACCCCCCATGGAAAACCCGGAAGTACTGAACGGCCGTTTCTTCCTAGTATGGAACTTTTCAGCTGCGGGTACCCATGATATCGCACGTGGGACTCAAAGCCAGGACCTGCAGTCTCGCACGCAAACGCTTAACCTTTAAACCATTGAGCCGGCATCCACAGGTGTTAATATTTAACTTCAACCACGAAATTGCGCCACTGTTCGTTAATTTATTTGATTATTTATTTTGCATCTGAGATCTAATGTTAGCTGAATTCAGTTTTTATAAGCTGAAAGTTCAGTAAAACTAGATCTACCAAGAGTTTTATAAAATATATGAAGAGCATGTATCGATTAATATCACTTCTTCAGTGAGAGTTTTGAAAGAAAGCATACTATACATGAACTAGTCGTGACTGCTATTTGATTATTAATCTTTCTCAAAAATGACACATAGATAGAACGTATTTTAGCTTTAAAAAATTCTAATTATTGAAGTGTTTAAGCATGTTTGTTTGGCACATTCGAATGTTGAGGGTGTTATATCCTAGCGAAGACTTAAGTCTGGATAACTTACGGGACCTATGAATGGACGATCGTTTTATGTATATTCTTATTGTTTAACTATTGAGTAATTAGGTTGTGTATATCTATATTCATCTTATTATAAGCATCATTTTGACTTATGAATTATTACTGCGCGATTTTCTGTCCCCAAATTATATTCAATCTATTGATTATTGTATCCCACATTTACAGCCTCATTTGGCTTGATCTTGTACAAATATTATTTTCTATTTTATGGAGTGCTGCGGTCTGTCTGTCTGGTATATAAACAGAGTATGCTTGAAATAAATGATTCGCATAGCAGAAGCTGCAATAGGTGTTTTTGGACTCAGTTGGAAGGGATAGGCGGAAAAGGGACCAATAGTGACGCTAGACTGTTCATACTGGTCGAACGTCATTGTTTTGGCACAGTGCTAAGAATGGAAGAGTCGTATTTCGATTAATCGATAATTCAGGTGATAAAAAGCCAAGACATAAAATCATAAGGAATTGGTATACGGCCTATTTTTTATAAAGTCATAACAGAGGGAACAGTCCAAAACCTTTTACATTACCCGTCAGTAATAAAAGAGTGAGAGGACAATCAATTATTTGAAAAGTTATTCATCGATTCAACTTGTCAAGCTTTTGTAATAAAATGAAAGAACAATTAATCACAGATTAAAACGAAAAAAAAGAATAATGACTAAAGTAATATTAACCTTGTTTAGCCAATTCTTCACCCCAATTACGTCTTTCAGCTTTTAATCCGGCAATAATCGATTCTTGAGCTGTCATTTCAGCTTTCTGTTGTTTTAATTCCTGTAATCAACAAACAAACAAGATAATGATAAGCAAATATGGATAGTGGCTAGCAGTGGAATCCAGGAAGTGCGTTTCGTCCTATGATTGTGAATTTAGGTTATATCGAGGCAATACGTACAATATGCACATATGCTATTTAGAGACTGACCAGTTGCAGTCCTAAGACATCAATGGGAAGATTCAAACAAGCAATACTGAGTGAATTTAAACAAGATAATGATTATTATAAATTAAGAAATTTTACTGAATCAAATTTCACATAAATTAAAAAAAGACTAATTCGAATGACAAACTACAGGTGGTATTTGAATGGTTGCTCAACTTCGTGGATTGGTTGAAGTTAGACATTAACACCATCAGATGCCGGCTCAGTGGTCTAGTGGTTAAGCGCTCTGCCACGAGACTGGTAGGTCCTGGGTTCTAATCTCGCGAGGCGGGATCGTAGATGCACACTGCTGAGGAGTCCCACAATAGGATGAAATGGCCGACAAGCAGTGCCTCCAGATTTTCCATGGTGGTCTAGCTTCAATTGACTCATGATTTCAACTATGAAAAATACTTAAATCTCCACAAAATCCCTTCTGATTAAAGTTAAAATGATTCAACATAAGGATAGATTGTTCATTATGGATTGATAGTAAATAATTGTTGAAAAGATACTTCAATTCATTCGATCTGTATAACTCATTAAGAAATAATTTACTTTTATATCCTCATTTATACACTATAAAGAAATGTTGAAGTGAACATGTTTTTCCTGTGTAATTAATCCAAGATTCGTGAACAATGTATGACCGCCCTCATAATTGACGCTTTAAGCTCAACGAAGAATATCTTCGTACTGAAGCTCGAATGGTTTTATTAATGAAATTGATTAGAATTAAACAATGAAATACCATTTCATTTACTAAATTATGTAATTCGAAAATAGTTTACTCCAAGCTTTAAACATGAAGACTAGGTTTATCGATAGAGCTAAAAGAATAATCGACTTGAATAATTCACAGGATCCCTAATTTTTATCAGTATACAAATTGATTGGATCTTCAAAAAAATTACATTGTCTTACATTACATTCTTTAAACATTCAAATGGGTTGACTACATTAATGATGTCCAACGGAGATTAAAATTAGTAATACATAGTCTCTATCTGTGTAGTATGGAATGACAGTAATGTAAATTTACATTAAGTTGACATCAATGGATATTTTATACTACAGCTTTTCCGGAAGTTTTAAGTTAGCATGACAAAAATATAAACGATGTTGAGAATGAATATCTTGATTAAAACGGTTGGTAATCAATATGTTTTTAATACTTTCATCCATTGGTTACGATCCAATTGGATCCAATTATAATTGAAGTAAACTAAGTTGGATTCACAAGTCAATCTAAGCTAGACCTGCATTGAATACCTGGAAGCACAGAACGACCGTTTTATTCGAGTACTTTGAAAATAATACAATCTTCACATTATCCTCAAAATGATGTCTCAGTCGCAATTAGGTACGTTGATATGGAGCGATTAGGGTCACAAGTGACCTTTAAATAAATATGAGTATATACATATACACTGGCTGAACGTTTGTGACTCTTGGGTATTACTTTAGTTGCAAATATATTTCAAACCATACTTACAATAAAGTGTAAACTATTGTGAGTTAAATTCATTTAGTATTATTTGTTTGAATCTTCCCATTGTTGTTTAGGACTGCAATTGATTAGTCTCTTATTGGCATATGTACATACTGTGCGTATTGCCTCGATATAGCCTAAATTCACAAGCATTATAAGCAAAGATGGAAAGTGGCTAGCAGTGGAATCAAGGACGCGCGTTTCGTTCTATTTGGGACTCGTCAGCTGGGTGTACCGAGTGGATAACGCGATGGCGTTTGAAGTGAAAGGTATTAGGTTCGAGTCCCAGAGTGGACATCAACTTCGAGATGTAGGTACATCCAGCTGACCAGTCCCAAATAGGATGGAATGCGCGTCCTGAATTCCACTGCTAGCCACAATCCATCTTTGCTTACCATATTGTGAGTTAAGTCGAAAAAGTCTCCTTTTCCTAAAAAATTAGTTAGTTAGGGTTAAGTTGCATTCACTGTGAGAAAATACTTATTCTCTCTGAGTAATAATGACTGACAAAAATCACACAATTCTCTATGGTAGTTTTGTCTATTATTCAAACAAATTATGTATCTCAAAACGTTTGACTGGAATTAGTGAGGTACAGCGACTATAGTTAGATGAAATTTATTTTGGTAGATATAGTTCATAGATATAAAACTAATAACCTTTCGTAAATTTTCATGATTTCTAATCCGTGTTTGGGCTTCTTCTAAATGCATTTCCAAAGTTGTGATACGTTCCTGTGAAATAAATGAAGATAGTGTGGAATTATATTAGTGTAATGATATTTATTAGAATTAAAGAGATATTGTATGAGGTATGTACGTGAAAATGTGTAAGGATGGCTCGTTGGTAAACCCTAGGAAGCCTTCAAGGAGTCCAGAAAGAGCCTAAGACTTTTCATCCAATCACTGCTAAGGGAATATTTTAGAATGTCAACGTGTAGCTCCCCCATTGGATGGATAAGAATGACCCCCTATATGCCTATTGGTTGTCCGAAATGATGATTTACTCTCAGTCAAAAACTATAAATACATGAGATTTCTGTACTATATTTTGACGCTGTTTTGTGGAATAAAATTCCTACTTACTAGTGTTCTGTCTTCTCACCTGCGACGTTGCGGGTTCGATCGTTCAAGTAGTCAAGTAGTACGCGGCATAGTAAGAATCAAAGCTCTAGATATAACAATATTGACCGCATAATTTGAAATATCCGATAAACTGTCTTCTCAACGAATAGAAGATGTTAATCAGTATTTATTTAAGCATATTTAGTATAACTGAAGTTTCTTGATAATAATTTTCATAAAACAGAATTCTTGTACAGTTGCCTCGAAACTGTCATCAATGGGTCACCTATTACCGCGATTTGGCAGTTATTCAAGATGATGTGATATGTGACATACCTTATATATATATTATTTCTATGTCCTACATTGTTCACGACTTACTGACCAAACAAAGAACAGATAATCACAAGTAGAGGACTTAATTTATGATGAAGGTAACTAAAGCTGTATGGTTGAGAACAAAAATAGCAATGTCAGATGTGAGTAAATTAGATGCCCAATATCATCAGGTAGATTTCTACATGACCAATCTAATAAATAGGTGGACCAATATCTGATCAATGTGTATACATGATCAGCTGCTCTATTCGCGAGACCTAATTCACCTTTTTGTTCCCGAAATGCAAAATAGTTACGCAAGTGCGGCACAGGAGTGATTCGGAGACGACAAAATATTAGATGACGATAAGTAAGGCGATAAAGTTGACCTTGTAGGACTTCTAGGGATGTGAAAAAGGAAGACGAATATGAGATAATTATAGAAGGGGTTTTGTGGAGATTTAGTATTTATCATTGTTGAAAGCGTGAGTCAATTGAAGCTAGACCACCATGGAAAACCTGGAAACACTGGACGGCCGTTTCGTCCTATTATGGGACTCCTCAGCAGTGCGCATCCACGAACCTGCTCTCGCGAGCGGGATTCGAACCCAGGACCTACCAGTCTCGAGCCGAAGCCCTTAACAGATTGACCACTGAGCTGGCATCCATAATAGGACGAAACGGCCGTCCAGTGTTTCCAGGTTTTCCATGGTGGTCTAGCTTCAATTGACTCACGCTTTCAACAATGATGAATATGAGATAAGTTCACTGTTAAAAATAAAGAGTATTTTCAGGGTTATAAGACTTAACATTTTGGTCACAATTCATCTATTTATTAATCAAAGTAAGTTTTAGTTCAAAAAAGTAATGTATCTAGTAGTTTCATAGTGACCCACAATATCATACATAGGTTACTGGTGAGTTACGGCTAATTAAATGCCTGAATAGATTCTAACCCCAAACACTTAAATAACGTTCTCACTAGGAGCCATTATATTATCTAAGTGTGTAAGTTAGTTGACAAATAAACTGGTCAACACTGAATATGAGAGACAAATTTTACCCGCAATAGTGAAAATTTAGGTTGTCGATAGATTGCCACTTCAAGTACAAGACTATCTTATTAAATGAAACAAAAGTTTAATTTTACCTTAAATTGGGGCACGTAGTAAACAACTATATTGTTTTTTTCACTTAGCTTCAAGAGGGCTGAAATGAAAATGTGGAACTCGGGAAGCATTCTATAAGAATTCTATTTATATTATCTTTCACATGCATTGATCAAATATTTGGTTAATATTACTGTTGCCCAAATTGTAAGCTTCTACTCAAACTATTACTATAAATATCCTTAACTGTTAGTAAATTAACTATAAACTCGTTACTGATTTTGTATCATAAGTATGCTAATTTCAAGTACATTGTGATTTATTCATGATGATGTCTTGTGGTCTTGAGTGCTGCTAGAGGTATGAGGGCATTTATCACTTTCCGGTTGCCCACACCATGGAAGGGTTCTTCTAGAGGTACCTGAGAAGAAAATTGAGTTAGAAGTGGTCTTGGTGACCTGAGAGCGTGATCGCAGTGTCCAAGGGACAACCGCTTCACGTCGGTCACACACGACCTTTTTGTGGGTAGTTTTTGTGTTAGCTCCGTACTTCTTGGGATCTTACTGCTGGAGACGAATATCCGTAGGATAAGGCGAGGTGTGTATTTTTAGGGCTGGCCTTTTCTAACTCCATACTGCTGTCACACCTCTGTACAGTCAGCAGTACGACTTCACATTCAGACCTTGGGTTTGCTGCTTTTAGTCTCACCGCTCTTCAAATGACCTGCCTGGCATGGTAGGACCTTGAGGAACGATACTTACAGCCAGTATAGCTCGATTAGTTCATCACGATAGACAATCCCGACCACCACGTCAAGATAGCAGCAACGGTCGGATGATGATGTACATAATCACGTGTTTTAAGTGTGAGGAAAACCATCCTTTTTTCAATATTCAATAGAAGGGCATTATGGAGCATTTCTCGTTCATCCTCTGAGTTACTGATTCAGTGCTACACATAAGAATGTAATTTTCATTGGGGATTTCGTTTCAACCATATAAAGTTGTCGATGTATGTCATCAGTGAACACGACACTATGGCGCAACTCCAATCAGAGGGTGGAAAAAGTAAATAAAATGAAATTCAAATAATGTAATGAAATCCTCAGTGAAAAGTATTCTCTTATATGCAGCATTCACTCATTCAACAGATAAACGGAAAAATGACCGAAAATGTTTGATACCGCACACGTATTGAACAATTTAAGAATCGATGCTCTATAAATTGACGGACACGTATACTGTTACAAGTTTTATTGAATAACGAGAAGAAAAATACCTTTGTATACTGTTCAAAACATTTAAAATAACAGCGGAAAATGTTTTTTTTTTTGAGAATCAGAATAGAGTAACAATTATAATGCTGAATGCACCGAATCCTTAATTCAGTTTCTGCGGACTATGTAACAGGCAAATCGACAATATCCCTAAATTCTAATATTAAACATTAAAACCTGAAACAAACTTTAACTTAGTGGTACTCTATTTTATTGACAAACTAGTCCGGTAGCACCTCTTTGATTTTCGCTCGAAGATCATTCATTCATTTGGCTACAGAACCGTTTTTCATTGATACTTTGGGTAACGAATTGAAATTCTATGTAGGTTATCGGTCATTTAGAGTAGATAGTAGTCGGAGTGTAGGAGACTCTTAATTAATAGAAATAATAAGACAATACACAATAGATGAATTTCTACAAACATCACTCTACTTTATTGTAAAAAACGTTACTTTTAAATTGTGTTGTAATAGAAGATGGGCTTTTTGTTGACTTGTATACTTAGATTTTTGTTCTTTAACCACCTAAATTAAAAAAAGAGAATAACAGAGAATAGATGATAGTTCAAGTCTACTATGAAATAAAAGAGTATTGATCTTAAAAATCATCATTAACCACTTAATCTATTCAATAAATATATGGATTAAAGTCATGCAAACTTTGTTTCATAATACTCGATATCCTACGAGAAAATATGTGTCCTGTGTCCCTTGCCGTTGCTCAAAATATCCAAGAAAATCCTCCAAGATAAGTTTTTTCAACTGCTTCCTCATCATTGCACATATTGTCATCTCCGTATAATCACCCTAGGAGTATTTCGGATTTTCGTGAACGAAATGAAACACCAGTCCTGATTTCGGTCATTAAAAATGGTGATCTAATGCAGTGAATAAATCAGGGGACTAGAATATGTGGAAAAAACTGAATATTAACGGATTAACAGTTATATTTCCAAGGGATTTTCAACATTTAACAATCAGCAGATGAATAAAGACAGGTTGTCAAGATCGAACTGATTCTAGGTTATTGGCGTCTGTGGCAAATACATACTGTTTTAAAGGAAATGATTAACAGTCCAAGAGTGTTCGAAATGCATTTCTATTCCTATTGGTGTAAAAATGTGTTTCGGGACTAGGTTCCGTTAACGTATCATAAGAAATGAATCAGCAAATTGTGTCAACCACTTCAAGTATCTAGAAAATCTCTTTAATTCTGACAGTTTGATGGCTAAAAAAACTCTTAGCACTCGTACGAAAGCCCGCAGCGGGTTCTCTAATTTACGCCATTTACTATGACCTGTGACTATCAATGTATGAGTACACTGCGTGGTCTGCTTAGTATTTTTCTACAGCTATGAATTATGATGAATAAAAACAGAACAAATGTGTAGACATAGGAGTAACATAGGAGTATTCAAAGTAATGTAAATAAACTGTGTAGCCACCTATTGAGTAGTGTTTAGTTGACCGGTTGTGAAAAATCGGTTGATGATCTAATACATTTTGGTTAAGATACATGTTGTTCATCCATAGCCACTGCACTCATCATGAATCAAACAAAACGTATAGAATATCTGCTTTGCAAGATGAAAAATTCAAATTATTAAGCATTAGGTTTAAGCCACGACTATCTCAGTCGAGTTTAGTCAGCCATGTCGTATGCGAAACTGATGACACAAAAGCACGACTCAAAATGGAGTACATCAATTATTCTACTTGTCTACCGAGCTATATTAACTGATGAACTTATGTAATAATTTTTCAGTGCATAAATACTCCAATACATTAACAGTAAAAAATAAATACAGAAAATTTTTAAGGGTTCGTAGTTTGCCGTCGTTGATGTTAAGGACCAAAACTTCAATGAAAGCTTGTGAATAAATGTCAATATCGAGACAATCTGTCCAGTATCCACATAAGTACTAACCTTTAGAAACAAGATTCATATCCGTTACACAAGTGGTTTAGCTATCTGAACTCAGTATCTCATTAGATAACACGTTAGGCGTTTTTACCAAAGGAAGTACTGAGTTAAATTATCGGTATGAACATCAACAGAGAGATGTGAGTACATCTTATCATTACCAAGCAGAACAAAGTGTGTGTAATGAACTCATTGCAAGACAATAACTCAACTTTAATAAAATACAAAAAAAAATTGATATGAAAAAATGAAACCAGAAAGGTTACCGCATTTAATTCTTGAATTAAACAACGTGCAGATTCTTCACGTTCTATCATTTCTTTTAATTGTAATTGTGTATTATTCAATTCATTTTTACATAAATCTGATGTTTTAAGTAACTGTAATCAGAGTACAGACAAAAAACATTAAAAGAAAACCAACAAATATATATGTACAGAAAATCAAGTGAATATAAGTTGAGTTTTATATCAATTGATTGATCACTGGGTGGTGATCAATGTCATGCGTATCAAGTCCTTCTTACTGTTGATCGAATGCTATCGATCATGTTGCAATGTGGCCACTAGTCTAGGTGGCTAGACACTGCGTGCACTATGTTGAGATAAGATGGTGGTTGAAGGTGGTCAACAGGAAACCCTGAACCCGGATTTCGTGCTACTTGGAACTCGTCAGCAAGGTGTACAGAAGGTCGATCGCGGCCCGAGTAGCTCAGTGGTGACGTCTCTGACTGTGAAGCTGAATGACATGGGATCAAATCCGTCAGGGAGCACCAGTTCCCTCAAGATTACAGGTACACCTTGTAAATGAGTGCCAAGTAGCACGAAACCGGTTTCAGGGTTTCCTGTTGACCACCTCCAACCACCATCTTATAACTATCAAGGTGTTCTCACGTCCTCGTATATCATCTTGATAAAGTGATGCTTAAAGTACTGATGATGGGAATAAGTTACCAGCAATTATGTATGAAATGTTATATTACATAAACTGTATAATGATTTTCCATCTCAATGACAGGTGACAACTGGAAGTACAATCATATTAGATAATAATAAATCATATCCAAAAACAAGCCGGTTTTGTATCGCAAAAATAAGTTAGTAATTATGACAGAAATCTATTACAATATACTTCACAAACACATAAACATACTGTTTCATATCGTTCTGCTTCAATTCTTAATGCCATCCTGAATTCATCTTCAAGAGCTGTGTAACGTTTAGTACTCTCGATTAACCTAGTAAAATAAAGAAATATTGAAATCACCACGATGTATTCAATGTACAACAATGGAAACTATATTAAGACAAGAGACTAAAGTTATTTAGAGTTTATTTTGCTGCAAAAACATTTATGTTTTTATCTAGTTAGAGATTTTTAGCAAGATTCTTTTATACGAGATAGAGTTACTAATCCAGAGCCCATTCCTCCTCCTTTAACCAACAGTAACCCTGGAATGGCTTCAAGAGAAGTTTTGGTTGCATAACAGTGTATAATATAATCTACAACTAGATAACAAAAGAAAGTCATAGATGTTTGTATAGTTGACAAGAATGAATTCAACTGATCATTGTTTCTTAACATAACTTCGAGAAAAACCCTCGAAGTTAGGTATTAGTCAATAAATAACTATTATCAACATGTAACGTGTTGGATAGATATCATTTATGATAACGAATGGTAGTTTTGGAATAAAGTGAACTGATTAAAGTTGGAAATTGGGATCATTGGATATTAAATTAATGGCTGAAACGCAGATGGCTCGTTGGAAGTTCTTATGCATTTAATTTTGATTCATAGTGAGATCATAAGTCTGCAGTATTGAGGAGTCCTAATTACAGTGGACTAGCTTTCCAGAGCTTACCAGTTGTCAAGTTGAAGTCAGTTTATATATTGAACAATCTTCAACCCATCTTTAGTTAATATTAGCTTAAAGAAATTGTTTAATTAAATAATTCTGTGTTTAATAATGAATCGCTTCACAAAGTTCCAGTCGGTGATGAATAAAGTTAAAAATGAGGATTTCCATGAAAGATGATCATGCCTTATAAGTTATTGATTAGATTATTATTTTATTTTATTTAAACACATAAATATTGGTACAAGGAAGCACCAGATAAATATGCGCCTCACAAATCTCATTCGATTTGTGTGAGGGCTGTGATACTGCACAGGTGCCCAGACTGAAGCAGGTGGTTTTCTTAGGAGGACACACCCGGAGCCTTTGACCGAAATATCTGATCCACAAGGCAGTGGAGCATCGTGAGGAGACCCAGTCCCATGGTAGCCGGTGATCAACGATTGATTCGTACGCCATTTGTTCCATCAGGATGCTGGAGCCCATGTGCACCAATGGTTTGGAATCAGGGTTTTCCAACTCCAGTAGGTGAACTTTCCATGTCCATTAAACAGGGTAAATCGTCGGACATTCGCTTTTCGTCCTCTCAATTTCGTAAACAACAGTAATGCCACGAGAAGGCAATGAGTAGGACTTCCCTGACAGAGGCTATATTCGCGTGGCCATATGAGAGCATTTGGAGAGGGAGAGCAGACTCTCCTCACTCTCAGCCGCACCAGGGCATTTGGGGGCATTGATTAGATTAAGGGTACGTGATCAATAAATTATGAATGAGTAGCTAAATGATTTCATGTTTGACAACAGACTTAATGTTACTTTGTCTAATGTCATTGTGTATCATCTAGTCAACTGGAACTATTATTAATTATCATAGTTGAAATCATGAGTAAATTGAAGCTAGACCACCATGGAAAACCTGGAAGCACTGGATGGCCCCTTCTGATCTATTATGAATTACTTAATGTTGGAAAAGGACTGTTATACAATAATACCACTATTAAGATACTGTACAAGAGAAGATATACAAAGCAGAATGAATGCAACGTATAAGTTCTTTAAATGTTATCAATTTCACGTAACTAACATGTTGTAGAGAATATTTATTGACTTATTCTAGATAGTAAGATGATATCAGGTAAATATCTCAGACATAAAAAGGATCACAGTTAATAACATCACAAAAAACTATTTCTATGAATCCGGTGTTTATCTTATTGTGCTAACGAGGTATGACAACTTGGACTGATGCATAAATGTGCCTAGTCATACGTTGTAGCTGACTGACTGACATCATAAGAATACCACAAAGGATGAAAATGATATAACTATTTAGTCAACTGAACTGTAAATTATCAAAAAGAAACTATCATGATAATATAACAAGTTGTATAGATATGGGTTCATTGTTTCATTATTCACTGTTACTGAGTTACCCTTGATTTTGTGGAAACATTAAATGAATACTTAGTGCTAGAGATTGTGCTGATGATATCATTCAGAAGGACGATGAAAGCTCCACAACCAAACCATCTAGCTCAGAGAACAAAACTCTATCAAAAGAATACTTAATGCGATTTAATGTAATAGCTTATCATCGATCAAAACAGAACTGTTGAATACAACAAGAGATGTAAGCAACTATTTCATGAAAATCATTTTATAGTTAGATCAGTTGATCGAAAATTGATGATTGAGAAGATTTCCAAACGAACTTACTAACAATTTAGTGTTGTTCAAACGGAAAAACTGTTTTCTAAACACACTGTTTAAATACAAGTTACACGTTAACACCGTTGAACACTGGCTCAGTAGTCTAGATGTTGTGAATGAAAACACAGGTGAGGACAACCAACTATATATAAAAAATTCTCCACAAAACCACCTCTGATCTATAATCATATACTCATTAGTGACTGACTTCAAGAGATATTTCGTGGAGTTCTAGTGGGAAGCAGTGGCCAGTGGAGTTCTACCAGGTCTATTGTAAAGATATCAGCTCACTGAAGATAATTGGTGTAGGGTCGCTCAAAATCGTGGATTCGTTGAAGTTAGACATTAACACCGTTGGATGCCGGCCATCTCAGTGGTCTATCGGTTAAGTGCTCTGGCGCGAGATTGGTAGGTCCCGGGTTCGAATCTTGTGAGTGCGGGATTATTTATTATTATTTATTTATTTATTTAAACACATATATATTGGTACAAAAGGGCACCAGGTACATATGCGCCACACAAAATAATGAAAGTAGGAAGAGAAGGGATGAAAAGATAAGGCGGACTAAAATGTACAACCAGAAGACTCTTTCAAATAGGAAAGTAAGAACCATACTTTATGTAGAAAGTAAAAGAAGGTTGCAGCAGGATCGCCACTGGTTTCTATTCTGAGCCATATCTGATAACGTCTCTAGCCACTGTGTTGCACCATCTCTCGGACCCCAACCAAGGAGTCGTGAAGGACCAACAGAAGCTAGCCCTTTGCAGCTCTCTTTCATGCCACGACACCATGTCATACACTGACCTCCTCTCCGCTTTTTCCAACCAGTCCCAGGGTCGGCAAATAATGCACGACGTGGAAGCCTCTGGGACGACATTCGTAAAACATGTCCAAGCCACCGAAGTCGGTGTTTCAAGATGGTGACACCAATTGAATTATCGTCTCTGTGCCCGAACACACGATGCCGAACCTCTGCATTACTAACATGGTGTTGCCACTGGATGTCAGCAATCCTTCGGAGACAACGATGATCGAACACAGAGAGACGTCTAACATCCTCAACTCGGAGAGGCCAGGTTTCACAAGCATAGAGCAAAACTGCTCTCACCGACGCGTTGTAAATCCGACTTTTTACAGCCAGACTAACATCACGAAGGCGCCAAAGATGGCCCAGATTGGCATAAGCCGATCTGGCTTTCCTTATACGTGCATCAATCTCATCACTCACGCCACCACCAGCACTTATATAGCTACCTAGATACACGAACTTCTCAACTACTTCGATCTCCTCACCATCCAGGGTGAGTACAGGATTAGAATCCTGCCAGTCTTGTAGAAGTACTTTGCACTTGGAGGGTGCAAAGCACATGCCGTACCTGCGGACACTGATTGCCAACTGATTAAGTGCTGATTGCATGCCTTGGGCATTATCGCACAGTAAGACAATATCATCCGCATACTCGAGGTCGAGAAGTCGTTCTCCAGGCAACATATCCACACCGCCATTACTTACATCCATCAGAGCTGTTTCCAAGATGTCGTCGATGGCAAAGTTGAAGAGGAATGGGGAGATCGGGCAACCCTGCCTAACCCCACTGCTCGAATGGAACAAGGGAGAAAGGTGGTTGTATGCCCTCACTCTGCCTGAGGTGTTCGTGTACAGGGCCTTTAAGATGTTAATGAACTTCTCAGGCACACCCTTTTTCAATAGACAATCCCAGAGAACAGTCCTGTCCAACGAATCGAAGGCAGCCCTGATATCAAGAAAAACTACGATTGTTGGCCCGCGATAAGTATGATGGTGTTCTAACATTTGGCGAAGGGTGAAGATATGATCAATACATCCTCAACCAGAACAAAAACCAGCCTGCTCCTCGCGAGTCAATCGTTCTCGGGTTTTAAACAACCTACGAAGAATGATAGAAGCCAATAGTTTGGACGCAATCGGAAGTAGACTTATCCCCCGATAGTTATTGCAGGAACAACGCGAACCCTTTTTAAAGATAGGGACGACTATTGACTCATTCCATGATGTTGGAACACTTTCTTGCTCCCAAACCTTTCCAAACAACACAGTCAATTCCTTAGTCAGAAAGTCGCCATCGTCTTTAAAAAGAGCCGGAGGTAAGTCATCTGGGCCAGGTGATTTGTAGCGCTTCAAGAGTTGGAGTTCCTTGCGGACTTCCGCCTCGTTTGGTGGATCAGTCGTCACCGGCCATGGGGGGCAGGACAAACTGGTCGATGTTGCCGGAGCAGCAGGCCAGTTGAACTGCCCTTCGAAAAATTCCGCCCATCGTCCAAGACGTCGATAGATGTTAGTGATTGGCATCCCATCATCCTCGTAGATTGTTTCACTCACACCAGACTTCTTGCTGCCAGTGGCTCGGATGAGTTGGAAGAGCTTCCGGCAGTTACCAGATGCAGCTGCTGCTTCCATCTCATTAGCACGCTCCGACCACCAGGCTTCCCGGTCCTTACGCAAGCTTTGCCCAATTTCATTACGTAACAGCCTTCGTTTGTGGTCAAACTCACGGTCACCCGGAGTAGACCGACGGGCTTCCATCAGTTGTAAGGAGCCAGAAGAAACCCAGTGCTTGTAAGCGGGACGTTTCGCGAAGCCGCAAGCGGCTTTACTCGCCATTTTCATGGCGTCGTGAAGATGCAACCAATGCTCATCTATACTTTTCGGTGGGGTGTTAGCTAGCCTAGAGGCTAGCTCCGCTCGGTACTTACTTGCAACAGGAGTTGCAGCCAGTTTACTAATATCAATCCGTTGGTGGTGGTCAATCCTTCGGCCACTGAAAAGTAAGGTGAGATTGGCGCAGACCAGGGCATGATCAGACTCCAGATAGGTACTCCAAAAGGAGCGGCAGTCTTGTACACAACCACGCCAGCGGTAGCTGATCGCGATGTGATCAATCTGAGTCCAGGCTTGGGATGCAGAGGGAGGACGCCAGGTGGCACACCGGCGATGACTGTGCCGGAAGTTAGTGCTGGCCAGAAACAGGTTGTGGTCTGTGCACAGTTGCAGCAAACGGTCCCCGTTATCTGTCCTGCGACCAACAAGTCCCCATCGGCCACCTAGACGACTCTCTTCTACGCCTAGACGCCCGACCTGTGCATTCAAGTCTCCGGCTAGTACTACAATATCTGTCGAACGCGCTTTCTGGAGAAGAACTGTTAACTGATGGTAAAACTCACCCTTGATTGCATCCGGGCTGCAATCTGTCGGGGCATAGGCGGAGATGACGAAAAGACACCGTTTCTCACGCCGGTTTCTTCTCAATTTGATGGAACTTTCTAATCTAACAGCACATAACCGACTGTTAATGGGGAACCAATCGATTAGTGCTGCCTCAGCCCTAGCGCTTAGTGCGACACCAACGCCAGCAAGACCAGACGAAGATGCCACAGGGTCCCCGGATAAGCGCACGTGGAACAAGCTTTTCGAGGCGACAGATGGAGAGCGGATTTGTAGTACTTCACTAGAGTCTTGAATACGGGTCTCGGATAGACAGCAAACATCAACATTAAGACCTTCCAAAGACATAGCCAGCCCTATCTGTTGTCTGATCTGCATTAGTGTGCGAACGTTGAAGGAAGCCAGCTTGAACGGCGTACGCGGTTTCAGAAAGACTGCCTCAGTATTCATTATCGGTGGAAGCATTCACTTTCAACCAGACAGTGACTGGAGATCGTTTAGATAGGACAGATTTTCCACCAAGAGCGAGCTGATGCATAAGTTGAAGAGTAAGGTTACACAAATTGGGGGTAAAAGGGGGTGAATTAGCGATATGGTAAGTAATAATAATAATAATAATAATAATAATAATAATAATAATAATAACAGTAATAATAATAATAATAATAATAATAATAATAATAATAATAATAATAACAGTAATAATAATAATAATAATAATAATAATAATAATAATAATAACGTAAATTGTCTTGCTTATAATATGAGCAGGAATAGAATCGTCAATAGAGTTCGTAATTTCATTCATTTGTGTGAGGGCTGTGATACTGCCCAGGTGCCCGAACTGAAGCAGGTGGTTTTCTTAGGGGGCCACACCCGGAGCCTTTGACCTAAAGGTCTGATCCACAAGGCAGTGGAGCATCGTGAGGAGATGCAGTCCCATGGTAGTCGTTGACCAATGACAGGTTCTTCCGCCATTCGTTCCATCAGGAAACTGGAGCCCATGTGCACCATTGGTTTGGAATCAGGGTTTTCCAACTCCCCTAGGTGGACCCTCCGTGTCCACCAATCCGGTTATAGCGCCGGACATTCGCTTTTCGTCCTCTCACTTTCGTAAACAACACCCCCGCCACGAGAAGGCAGTGAGTAGGACTTCCCTGGCAGAGGCTATATATTCGCTGGCCATATGAGAGCATTTCGAGAGGGAGAGTAGACTCTCCCCACTCTCGACCGTACCAGGGCATTTGGGGGCCATGGATGCGCAATGCTGAGGAGTCCCATAACAGAACGAAACGGCCGTCCCGTGCTCCCAGATTTTCCATGGTGGTTTAGCTTCAATTGACTCGTGATTTCAACTGTGAAAATACTAAAAAATTCTCCACAAAACCCCCTCTGAACTATATATTTGGCACCAATTACGTTACTTGGCAAAATACAAAAAACATGCTATGATACACTATTTGCAAAATGTTCTTCAATTGCCTAAGGCTTTATTGTTCCTGCATTTCCACACAAATCGCCTTTTATTTCTGTTCTTCTCTTCTTGATCTTTTCAATCTTCTGCTGTCAGATATTCTATTCCTTACACACCATATATACTAATGTCGATATAAGTAGCTCACACCACATAGAGATAAACATTCGCACGTGAGACCGCAGGTCCTAGGTTCAAGTCTATCATACGCAATCGCAAATACGCACTGCTGAAGAGTCCCGCAGTGGGATGAATCGACTATCCATGTTTTCAACGGTGATCTAGCTTAGATCGACTTATGATTTCAACTGTGAAAACATTTGGAAAAGCAAGTAAAACCTACTTTTCTTGAAGCAAATCAATATCTTTTTGATAATGTGCTCGTTCTAGATCAATTTTCGCTGATATAAACTTTGATAATTCTGGACTATCCAATTTATAACGATTATTTAATTCTTTTCTATACAAAATTACAAGAAAGAAATTGAAAATGAATAAAATGAGCAAGCTGTTGAAAATGGACTGATATGCACAAAAGTATTAATTAACAATTAACTAATAAGTATACACTGTTCTTAGTTTAAAAATTCATCAACCATTCACCAATGTCTTCAATGAGTTGATATATCCCAACAAACCTGGTTGAACTCCACCGGTTACTGCTTCTCACTAGAACTCCAGGAAATGCCTCATGGAATCAGTCACTAGTGAGCATATGATCACTATCAGAAGAGGGTTTTGTGGGGATTTTAGTAATTTTATATAGTTGACAATATGAGTCAATTGAAGCTAGACCACCATGGTAAACCTGGAAGCACTGTACGGCCTTTTCGTCCTATTGTGGGACTCCTCAGGAGTGTGCATCCACATCATATACTCACTGGTGACTGACTTTAACAGGTATTTCCTGGAGTTCTAGTGAGAAGCAGTGACCAGTGGAGTTCAACCAGGTCTGGTGTGAGATATAAACTCACTGAAGACATTGGTGAATGGTTGCTCAATTTTGTGGATTTGTTGAAGTTAGACATTAACATCGTTGGATGCCGGCTCATTGGTCTATCGGTTAAGTGCTCACGCACGGGATTGATAGGTCCTGGGTTCGAATCTCAAGAGGCGAGATCGTGGATGCGCACTGTTGAGGAATTCCACAATAAGACGAAACGGACGTCAAGTGCTTCCAGGTTTTCCCTGGTGATCTAGCTTCAATTGTGAAAATAACAGAATATAGTCAATTTCACATGCTTGAAGAGTTCAGTCCGGCTGTTATCAGTTTGCAGTAGCTCTATTCAGAAATCATAATTAGATTCCATAATGTTAAACGATCATCGAGCAATTGGCATAGTAAGCTCTGTTTTAAAAGCTTCAAATTTATCAAATAGTAGTGAAAAGTTGTTATTCGACTCAGGAGTCTGATCACTACATTGCTAATTAGATTTCAGAGAGATCGTTTTATTGTCTAACATCAGGAAATTAGTGTTGATTAAGTTCTTCAATTCACATAGACAATAGATTGATTTTTATTTGAAATACCATTTCTTAATATATTTCAAAAAAATAAACGAACATTTTCTCGAAGATAATTCAAATTATCTCAATTTTGATGTAGGTTTATTCTCTGAGCTGGATGGTTTGGTCGTGGAGCTTTCATCGTCCTTCAGAACAACATCATCAACCCGAAGTTTGTGCTGATGATGTCGTTCAGAAGGACGATGAAAGCTCCAAGGCCAAATCATCCAGCTCAAAGAACAAACCTACATCAAAATCACCCACCTGAGCTACAAATCTTTTCCACCATCTCAAAATTATCTCAATTTCGGTCTCTATTCCAACTTACTCGTACTCTGTTTCACGATTACGTAACAATGTTTTGGTTTTGTCTAATTTCTGTTCAGCGTTTTCTGCTCTTGCTAATGCATTTTTATTATCAGCGCGTATTTCAGTGATAAGTTTGTTTAAATTTTCAATCTATTAAGAGAAATATTTATCAGTTATTATAAGTAGTTATAAAAAAACAACACAACCAGGTAGTTTCATAATTGAAAGCGTGAGTCAATTGAAGATAGATCACCAGGGAAAATCTGGAAGCACTGGATGGCCGTTTCGTCCTATTGTGAAACTCCACAGCAGTGCGCATCCATGGTCCCGTCTCACGAGATTCCAACCCAGGACCTACCAGTCTCGCGCCAGAGCACTTAACCGATAGACCAATGAGCCGGCATCCATGGTGTTAATGTCTAACTTCAACCGATCAACGAAATTGAGCGACCGTTCACCAATTGTCTTCAGTGAGTTGATATCTCACAACAGACGTGGTCTGAACTTCACTGGTCACTGTTTCTTACTAGAACTCCTGGATTTACCTCCCGAAGTCAGTCGCTAGTGAGTGTATGATTATTATTATTATTATCAGAAGGGTTTTTTTGTGGAGGTTTAGTATTTTCATAGTTGAAAGCGTGAGTCAATTGAAGCAAGATCACCAGGGAAAATCTGGAAGCACTGGACGGCCGTTTCGTCCTATACTAAATCTCCACAAAAAACCCCCTTCTGTCGATAATAATAACCAGGTATTACAAATAAAAAAACGTAATAAGTAGCATAGAATGATACTTCAATACATTTTACTAATCTTATTAATAATCTTTTAAAGTTTCGGGAATAATAGGTTATAAAAGACAGATTATCGAAAGTTTTTTTTCAGTATGGGGTTGTAGTAAATGTTATTGAGACCACAAACTAATCTCACTTGAGCCAATACTGAAAACCAAGAAACACTGAGTAGTTGTTTCGTCTTTGTACAGGAATTTTCAAAAGTTCCCATCTGCGAACTCACAGTTGGGTATCGAATCCAGGACATTCGGTCTCATAAGCGAACATTTAACCTATAGACCACTGAACTAAAATCCCATGGTATACATATCTAATTTCAACCAGCTACCATAAAAACTGAATTTAGTAGATAAACAAACGTTTAATAGTCGTATACTATTAGATTACACTTTATAACAGTTTTAATTCATTATGAAGTCAGAAAATCAGATTGATTGTTTAACTGGTCAACTTATTGAATTTCGATTCCACTTCCTTACTGATGTACATTAAATAAAGAAATTGTATAAACTGACGACGAATCAACTCATCAATTATACTTCTCTAATTGAAATAATCCTTACCTTATTTGACTTTTTTACAACAAATTCCGTAAAATAAACTATGGAGTCATTCAAAGCATATAGGGCTTTATTTCATTAGACGTAGGATAGCGTCTATATAGATCAAATGAAATTGGGAGATATCTAAGAATAAAAAACACGATCACTGACTCTATCTAATGGTATTCAGATGTCATTTAAGACAGAACACTGATAGCCATTTTTTTTTAAAAGAAAAGAGAACATATGAAAGTTGTTTATTCATCAATTATCGACTGTACCTCTTGTTCATATCGATCTTTTTCTGCATTTTCTTTTACCCGTAAATGATCAACAATTTGGCACATATCATTAAATTTTTGCTAAATTTAACATTTGAACAAGATAAAAAAAAAGGTGATTAATAAATACTAAAACATTGAACAATCCATTTACTTAAGAAGGAAATACCTTGTTAATCAATCAGATTTAAGATAACGAATCTTCATTTAACACGTTTTAGACATTATAACTGATATCGGTTCTTGATGAAAACCATAATTCTAATCTCTAACCATAACTTTTAGCTCTAACTCTTAATCCCGATTCTTTACACGAAGTTATTACTCTACTTTGACTTTAGAAAGGAGTTGAAGTTTCTTAAAAGCACTTTGGTATCACTCAAAAAAGAATGTTCATAAATTATAGTCTCATCAAAATATTCTGTCTTTTTTTAAACATTTTTCTAAACAGTCGGTGGTATCCACTATATATTGAGTAAACTTGATTTCCGATTATCCTGGAATAAAATCAATTTGATTAAATGAAAATAATTACAATAGCTAACATCTTAAAATCACTTGGTGTTGTTTACTTGTATCTTCCCATTAATATTTAAGACTGCAATTGATCAGTCTCTAATTGGCATATGTACATCCTATGCGGACTGCTTTGATGTTGCCTGAAGTCACAAGCTTTATAAGCAAAGATGGATAGTGGCTAGCGGTGGAATCCAGGATGCGCGTTTCGCCCTATTTGAGACTAGTCAGATGGATCTACCAACATTTCAGAGTTGATGTTCACTCTGGAACTCGAACCCAGTACCTTTCGCTTCAAACGCCATCGCGTTATCCACTCAGCTACTGAGTTCTGATAGCCACTTGCTTTTGCAATGGGATGAAGTTTAAATTCATTTGGTATTGTTTATTTGAGTCTTCCCATTGTTCAGTGAACACCAACTCTGGGATGCAAGTACATTCACATCTGACGAGTCCCATATACGACGAAACGCACATCCTGGATTTCACTACTAGCCACTATCTGTCTTTGCTTATAACATCTTAAATGTTAAACTAAAATTTGAATAAAAACTAGTCCAAAAGGAAAACGGCAAATTAATAAATTTCAATGAACTTTGAAATCGTGTAGTTTAAAATTTGAATAATTTTTTTTGGTTAGCGTATTTTTAGCAAGTTGGTTTTCTACGGGATGGGGTCGCTAACCCCATGCCTAAGACTCCTCCTTTATCCGGGCTTGGGACTGTCAGTATCCCCCGGAGGAGCTACAGTCTACCCCACTGCTTCACAAGGCAAGCCTTCACATGGAGTCCTGAAAGTCAAAGGAAAAGAGGAAGACCAAAAAACACATTACGCTGAGAAATGGAGACAGACATGAGAAGAATGGACAAAATTTGGGTAGAATTAGAAAGGAAGGCCCAGGACAGAGTGGGTTGGAGAATGCTGGTCGGCGGCCTATGCTCCATTGGAAGTAACAGGCGTTAGTAAGGAAGGAAGGAAGGAAGTTATATTAAATACATATTACAAGTAATAAAAAGTTTTTAAATTTACTTCAATTATCTTTAATTGAGATTGTACTAATAATTTTTCTTGATGTTCTGTAGTAAATGCTTGTTTCAATTCTTCTGTTACTTTTAAAGCTTTACGTTGATCAATTGCTTTTATTACAAATGTGAAAAGAGAATAATAAAAAGTATATATTACAATTAATAATGACTAACATAACATAATTTGCCCTGAAGAAAATCTCTTAATAATATCAGAAACTATAAAAGTACGGCCACGCATATGCAGCCTCCGACAGTCAATTTCTTCTCACTGACATCCCTCACCAGAAGTGTTGTTTACGAAAGTGAGAGGACAAAAATCAATTGTCCGGCGCTTTAACAGGGTTGGTGGACACGGTGGGTTCACCTAGGGGAGTTGAAAAACCCTGATTCCAAACCAATGGTGCACATGGGTTCCAGTATCCTGAGAGAACAAATGGCGTACGAACCAATTGTTGGTCACCGGATACCATGGGACTGCATCTCCCTACAATGTTCCATTTCCTTGTGGGTCAGGACTTTAAGTCAAAGGCTTCGGGCGTCGCCCCTTAATAAAACCACCTGATTCGGTCTGGGCACCTGAGCAGTACTAAAGAGATAATATTAGGTGCAAAGTGAGTAATCAATGTTTAATATGATACAGTATTCAGTTATTATTTAGCAATTAAAACTGACAATCATATATATTCAAGATATAGCGCCTAAAATTCAAATAGCCTATCAGAAATGATCTCTTAAACACTATAATTATTTATTCTTACATTCTATGTAGTTTGAGATTATGAATCAATTGAAACTATACCACCATTGAAAACCTCGAAGCACTGAACGACCGTTTCGTTTTATTGTGGGACTCCTCAGTAGTGCGCATCCACCATCCCGTCTCACGAGATTCAAACCTAGGATTCATCAGTCTCTCATGCGAGCACTTAAACGATAGACCACTGATCCGGTTGACATCCAACGATGTTAATGTCTAGTTTCAACCAATGCACGAAATCGAGCAACCTTCCAACATTGTCTTCACTGAGTTGATATCTCACAACAGATCTGGTTGAACTCCACTGGTCACTGCTTCTCACTAGAACTCCAGGAAATACCTCTTGCAGCCAGTCACTAGTTAAGCACTCGCGCGCGAGACTGATAGGTCCTGGGTTTGAATCTCATGAGGCGGGATAGTGGATGCGCACTGTTGAGGAGTCCAAAGATAAATAAAAAACAGCCGTCTAATGATTCCAGGTTTCCAATAATGCTCTAACTTCAACTGACTCATGATCCCCTTCTGATAATTATCAAACTGTTTAAATGATAAATTAACTTTTAAAAAATATATATGTAATTTGTTTACCTGATAATTCTAATTCACGTATTCGATTAACTAAATCTTGACACAATTGTTCAGATTGTTTTCTTCGTGATTTTTCCTGATCAAATTCATAAAGTATTTTCTATATAGAAGTCAATTAAAATGTTAAGATATAATGACATTAATAAAAATAAATCATCCACTCAAAAATATCTAATTATACTACTGATTATGAATTCAGTAAGACAATGAAAACAATTAAGGAAATATGGAAATGTCAATCACAATATCTTGAACGAATAGTGTGCAATGAATGGAGAACGTCGAGATTATGTGCAGTTTTCTGCATGTAGAGAAGTGACAATTTAGTTGCTCAGTTCATGATCTTGCACTCACCGTTCTCATTGAAATATGTTCAGTGTACACCTGATATATAGCCAATCCGAAAAAGGATTGGAGTTTACAACTGGGTCTACACCATCAATATATACCTCTATATCAATTTCGTAGTAACGCCTGAGTATAAACAAATCAGGATAATTACAAATTAATAATTTACAGCGGGTGACCTTAGTTCAGATTCGCCTCGTTTTACACTTCAGGGCATTCTCACCATGGATTAGAAACTTTTGTTTCACTCATTACTGACTTTCCATAACAACATCGCATGCTGACAGACAGAGAAGTTGTCAAAAGTACTATTGGCTTATAGACTTGAATATGTCACCAAATGTACGACTAACTTAATAAACACCCCCGAACTCAGTTTACGGATAAAACGGATTTTTCAAGCCTCAATCACGAGCAAGTTATCAAAACTCCAGCAACACGACTGATCATGAGATTACGTTTACCATATTCTTAAATATAAAACATGACATATTAATTTGCAAAACTATCAAACAGTGATTAAAGAAAGAGGTATATTGTTTGAAATAACTTTCATATACAAACAGAAGATAGTAATTTTGACGAGGTAGTTTTGGAGATTTGAACATGAGCAACAGTTCTCATGAAAAACCACTTCAATAGGCTCTTAAAGAATAGTGTAGTGAAATTTTGCAGATCAAAAGTTAAATAAACATTGAAACTTTTTCACCTCTATTATAATACAAGTGCTTTGCTGCTCGAACAAGTTCTTTTTACTCCTGGCATGCTAAATTGTTTTTTCTGGTTGTTTTACTTATTAGGTTACAATGTAGAGTACGTGCAATATTCAACATTATTGTATCTGTTTGATTGTTTGTTATGTAGTTTGAGATGGTTCGGAATAAATGTAGCTTATGATGAACGTTTTGTAGGTGTTTTTAAGGCTGAATGGATTAATTGTGGCGCTTAGTCGTCCTAGTTTCTTGGCAGGACCAAAGATATTTATATCGCTAACGAAGAACCGATGATATCCTGCAATGTTACAGTCTTATTCGTCTCAATTAACGCAGATACAGCAAAGGATATTATATCCCTGCTTCTCACCAATGATACGAGCTATACAGAAGAAATTAAACTGAAAATTCAAATTTAATTGATCTAATTGATTTGTGTTTAACAACGTTTTTCTAATTCAACGGTTAATTATAAAAACAAATTAAAGGAACCCCTGTGTGGTCATCGATATCCTAATTATTCGCAGACGTAGTAATACACAAACTGAAAACTTTAGTTCTACCAGTAATCGGACAACAAATTACCATTCGTGAATGTATTGATCACTAAAGTTAACACGGAAAAACTGGAAACACAGATCTATCGGAAACCAAACCACATTGATCAAATAATGAATTACATCAGCAACAACTTAATGACTCATAAATAAACTTTGTACAGGCCTTGTTCAAGAGAATGAAGACACGAATCAACACAGCCATTTCACGGGAAGACAAGAGAAAACACCTAGTGGATATATTTCGAACGAACAGATATTTCCAAAGCTTCATCAAGGAATGTTTATCGAGCACAAAATTAACAATTATAATCACCAAACACATACTTCTAACCTATATGAAAGAATATCTCCAAGATCATAAACAGTTTATTAAGGCCATTAGTTAAAGGCATAGTGCATAAACACTCAAGTTTTTACAATCTATATTATTCAGGCCCGAGGACAAAACGACAAACGGAAACAAACTAAACATTATCTACAAAATAACCTGTAAATGTGAGAAGTACTGAACAAAACAAAGCTGCCATCCGCTTAATTAACGTCCACATTAACTTCAGTTAGCATTTAATCATCACGAAATTTCTTCTTTTATATGAATGCATATGAACAACTTTCGATTTAAATCCAACTAGTGAGACGTTGAAATAATGGACAAACGAAACATAAAGGAAGATAGAGAATCTTTTAGAAGCATAATACTTTAATAATGCATCAATCAACAGATATATTGAAATTAACTTTGTCTGTCAACGAATCAAGGAAAGGGTAAATCATGCTCATTGTAATTATATTTATCTTGTAAGTGAACTAACAAACTATAAGTATCTACAGTAAGAAACGGTTTATATACTGTTGATTCTATCAGTGTGAATTTTAAAGCTTTGATGGAAAATTTTATTGAATATCAAAACTTACACAACATAAGTAAATTATAATAAATTAATTTTATAGTTGAAATCATGAGTCAATTGAAGCTAGACCTGGAAGCACTGGACGACCGTTTCGTCCTATTGTCGGACTCCTTAGCAGTGTGCATCCACGATCCCGCCTAAAAAGATTCGAACCCAGGACTTATCAGTCTCACGCGTGAGCGCTTAACCACTAGACCACTTAACCGGCCGGCATTCAACGGTGTTAATGTCTAATTTCAACCACTCTACGAAATTGAGCAACCGTTCAACATTGTCTTCAGTCAGTTGACATCTCACAACAGACGTGGCTTCAACTCCACTGGTCACTGCTTCTCACTAGAACTCCACGAAATATCTCTTCAATTCAGTCATTGGTGAGCATATTATTATTATTATTATTATTACTGAAATCTTAACAAATACCCTTCAGATATTATAAATTAATTTGTAAAACAAACATTAAGAAGATATATAAATAAAAAACAATTAAAGCATACATTCATAGTTTTCATTTCATTTCTATGATCATTTAATTGTATATTTGAAGTAGGACAAATTGTCATAGTTACAGGAACTTTTTTATTTTGATCAATTAATTCATTATTGAAATTCATTAATCCAGTGGAAGTTGATCTTCTGGAATTTTCTTGTTTACTGAAATCATTTAAAAATAATTTAAACCTAATTCCTTTTAAGTAGTATATAATGAAATTTAAAAGCCTAAAGTGATCATATTTCAATACTATTTTCTATAATTTGTTATGATATTAAGATGATTTCCATATTTAATTCGGATTATTAACCGATCAATCTTAGATCGATATTGAAAACCTGGAAGTACTGAACAATAGTTGCGCATCTATGATTCCGCACGCGGGCTTCAAACTCAAGACCTTCGGTCTCGAGCACAAACGCTTAACCTCTAGACCACTAAACCAGCATTCAATGGTGTTAATGTCTAACTTAAATTGATTCATGATCTTGCGCGACCATCTTTCATTGTCTCCGGTGGGTAACTGCCTCAAAACCCACACAGTTGAACTCCAGTGGTCACGGCTTCCCACTAGAACTCCGAGAATCACCTCCCAGTTGTAGTCACTAGTGAGCACATGAAAATTATCAGTATAGGGTTGTGGAGATTGTTGCAGAACTCACTCACTCAATAGACGAACAGAAAAATGCTTGATACCGCACACGTATTGAAAAATGAAGAATGGATGCTCTATAAATTGACGGACACCTATCCTATTTACACACAAATCATCTACGGAAATTACAAGTTTAAACCAATTAACCTCTTCAAATAAGTTTTTTCAAAACATAATGGATCTAAAAAATGTTCGACCCTTGTTGATAATATATCAAAGCAATAAACTGTATTAGAAATAAGTCATCGCTTTCAAAATACACTAAACTGTTGTTCAAATTATTGATAACTTATTTAACCGAAACTTCCAAGTTAAATTAGTTCCATCAGGAAATGTTCAACTTCTTATTTGGTCGCATTATCTATACAAAGTCTAATGGAAATAATTTATAAGATGATGATCGGCACGGGATTTTGAGTAATTCTGTTCAACTTTATGTCATTCAATCAGTTATAATCAACAAAGAACCTGGAACAAAATGTGGACCAAACTATACTGGCATACCACTTCATTACAGCGAGATAAATTGATAAGGTAAATATTAAAGGAGTCAAAATCATGGTAAAATCAATTATATTTAAAAGAAAGGGATAAAATATGTGAGTAAAACGCGTTAAATAATATTAGACCTCAAGACTGAGGAGAAAAATGAACCTGATTCCATTCGGCTTAGTGTGACAGACTTTCGGTTACATTATCTAAGCTCCCCTAATATTAAGCATGACTATAGTGAGAATCTAAACCAGGTAAACTACATCCATCAAAATGGATCACATAAACAGTAGGCGGCTTCATAGGTTGACAACAAATCTCAGTTTAAGGGCCTCTGGGTTCCCTTTAACCTACTCCTCCGTAAACAACCAGAGACATATGATTAACTGTAGTTAAGACGCCCAGTTCGGCTGATAAAATTGTCAACTTAAAAGCACAATATATTGAATCACTATTACTGTATTAAGTCATATAAATTAACAATAACACTGCACATTTTTGTCAATAAACTTCAACTACATTCTCAAATATACATTACTAATCATAGTAGGTAAAGTCAACAAATAGATTTGTGCCTAACCAAACGATATTAAATATGCCATAATGAAGAGTTTGAAGATCGCAAATTACATTACATTACCTCAAAATAAGTTTGAATTGAGAATGATATTTATAAAATTGTAAAAATCATAGATTCACAAATATCAGTAATAAAGAGAACGTATTTACGTTTTCTTTTCAGTTGACGTTTTGTAAGATAATCTACCAGGAATTGATTTCGATTTTGTTGATGTATCTGGTTGATTTTTGTCTACAATTGATTGTTTCTTCACAGTTGATAAATGATTAAGATGTTGAAGATTTTGTGCACCTAACTGTTGGACAGGGTATGATGATGATTTATCTGGATGTATATTGCGTAAAAGTTAAAACGAACAGTATTATTATTATTATTATTAATGGCTTTATTCTATATTATAATCTGGTACAATAAAGAATTCTCAGCACGAGTTATTTCAACAAGTTTTTCCCAAAAAATAAAACCAAAAAAAAAAAAACAACAACAACAACAAAAAAAAAATAAAATATAAAAAAGGTTTAAGAAAATCTGAGTTTATACAAATTATCAAATTTGAAACATGCTTAAGAAGACAGGTTATTTACTAGGTCAACTCTAACAGCCTGTTCGTCACAAAGTAAATTAGCTAAGTAAGGTATTACAGAACTTTTATAGATTTGCTTGCGTGCATAAATTTTAATGTATTTACGTCTCGTTCTACCAGAAGATATACAAGGAGAAAGATATGAATGAAGCGGATGGTTAGTATCTGATAAGATAACACCTGCAAAGAGTTTGCAAGACTTAAGATGTCTATCCACAAGCATATTAACAATGACTTCAAAAGATTCACCACATACCTTGCAAATTGCCTTCAACACTCTACGCAAAATAGCAAAGTCTTTTCTCAAAAGCCCAGGAAAGAATAATGGAGAACAATATAAAATAATAGGTAATATGCAGGAGTTTACAAATTGTAAGAGTAAATGGCGAGTAATCCCAAAAGCATGCAGCCTCTTTATGTAATATGTCAAACGGTAAACTTTTTTCGATAACAGCAAAACATGAGAAGACCAAGAAAGATCAGAGGAAAAAAGGACACCAAGATATTTGACCTTCGACACTGTGTTTATTAAGGAGTCTCCAATGGCACAAGCATTATGGGATCCCAAAATAGAGCGTAGGTTCTGTCCATGTCTCAAGCTAAAATTAACAGCTTGACATTTAGATGGATTGAGTAAGAGACCATTACCAACAGACCACCTTTCAATACGAGATAAAAACTCATTCATTTCTATAGGATGTAAGGAGGTAGAAATTGGCATACATACGGTGAGGTCGTCCGCATATTTTACAAAGGTGTTTTCTGTGGAAGATGGCAGATCATGCAAAAAGAAAGAGAAGAGTAGAGGTGAAAGAACAGCTCCTTGTGGCACACCTACAGTAGACAGTAGAGATGTTGAACACTTTCCTTCAAAGACAGTGTACTGTTCTCTTCCAGAAAGGTAGGAACATAGCCAATTGGTTATCCAGCTGTCAGTATCGACGCTGATCAGCTTGTTAAGTAAGGTGTGTCTTGGAATAGAATCAAAGGCAGAAGTAAAGTCCAGGAAAGCGCATCTAACATACTTCTTACCCTTTTCCAACCCGAACACTATATTGTGATGCAGAACAGCAACGGCATCTAATGTGCTTCTTTTGCATTTGTAAGCAAACTGATATGGATCACAGTGCTCTTTTATTACAGGTTGAAGTGGTTGTATCAGTAATTTTTCCATTATTTTGAGGAAAGGTGAGGTTATTGCTATGGGTCTAAGTTTCGCATTTTTATCACCAGAAGCCTTCTTAGGTATAGGGATTACCTTTATCTTTCTCCACATTTTCGGTAAGACATTAGTTGAGAAGGATCTGTTGAAGATATTCATTAATGGATAACATAAAACATCGGCACATTTTTAAAAAGGAGGTTTGGGATACCATCAGGTCCTAAACATTGGGATGAATTCAGAGACTGGAGACATTTCCGGACATCATTTTCAGTAAAACTGAGGACACAATTATTCTTCAAACCCTTGGATATAGGGAGCATGATGGCAGATGACTGTTGAATAAAGGACTTATTTAAGTCACAAACATTTAGCTGGTTATCGCTTCTAGTCTGCCTGTCCCCTGTAATTTCTTTAAAGATTTTCCACATACTTGGAGAGCTTCTACAAGATAGGAGTTTTTGAGTGAACACACAGTTGAGACGTCTAATCTCTTGGTTTATTTGATCATTTAACTTACGAACTTCAATAGCGTTTTTCTCCTTGTACATCCTTTCTTTTACCCTCCGTAGTCGTTTTAGTTGTGGAGATGTAAGTCGATCAAAACTTAAAAAGAAGGTTTCGGTAGGACAGCAAATATCAAAACAAAATTTAAGATAAGAGGTGATAACATCCGTTGTGTTTTCTATTGAATCATCTGTAAATAATTCCCAGTTGGTCGTACGAAACATGTCTTTTAGATTTTGTAAATTTTCTTCTGAGTAATTCCTATATATTACTTTTTTGGTATGGTGTATGTGTGTACTCTTTCCATGTTTACCATATATTTTAGGTAAGACACGAATTATACAGTGATCCGAACTAGACAATGGAGCACGTTTGCGAGTCACATAGGCACCCACATCATTAATGAAAACCAAGTCTAGATGAGCATTCAAACGAGTAGGAAAATCTACTACATTTAGGTGACCTAGTGATGTAAGGAAGCTAAAGTCACATGAATTGAAATCACCACATACAATTGAAAGTGAATCACTGAAGGCAGTAACGGCGAATTCAGTAAATTTATCAGTGAAGACAGATAGCGCAGATGATGTGCAGTCTGGAGTCATGTAGATATTGGTAACATAAATATATTTGTATTTATTCAGGTGTTTTGGACGGCACCTTAAAGTAAGACAGTCAATAAAGTCGTTTGAAAACTTGAAACAGGCAAAAGTAGATCTACACCAGTTAACGTTTACAAAAGTAGCTACTCCGCCACCACAAGTCTTTTTATTGTTTGATCGATCCTGACGATATATATTAAAATCACGTAATGACACTAAGCAATCATCATGTAAGTCAGTTAACCAAGATTCTTGAATTGTGATGACACCACAATTACGATACATATTTTGACTTAGCAGAAATCGGAGATAGTCCACCTTGTTAATTAGTGATCGACAGTTAGAGTTAAGTAGCTCGGGAATCGACATTTGATTGATGTTTATTCTCTTTAAAGCATATTGCCAACCACCACGATGTCTCTTATTGTGCTTGTTTGTAATTTTTGCAGCGAAAGGACGTAAGCATTTTATAAACGCGCCTGTGTAGGTTATGCGATTAATAGACATAATGATAGGTTAAAACAAATTAAAAAAAACACTCAGATAACTTGTTGAAATATTTAGATGGCAGAAACAGGTAGCCCAGGTATTCAAGCAGGCCGCCGATGGAATAGTGACACTAAAATAAAAAGCTTACTATAATATCAAACTCAATTGAATTAATAACATACACCAATATGAATAGAGCCTGAAAATTTAATCATTTTACAGACTGACAAACCTTAAATTAATGAAATCATGCATTGAAAATGACTGAGTTCAATGAAATATATTGGAAGTAAGAAACAGAAACAGATGGATAGAATGGTACCAGACAGCAGAAATAGATAAATAAATAGGTAGATATGCCAAACTATTTAATTAGTTATATTCATAGTTACATAACAATAGTTAAATTTCAGAGTATTACAACCATCTAGCTATCAAGACTCAGTAACTAAGTGGATAACTCGATAGCGTTTGAAACGAAAGGTACTGGGTTCGAGTCTCAGAGTGAATAATAACTCTGAGATGCAGGTACATCTAGCTGACCAGTCCCAAATAGGACGAGACGTGTGTCCTGAATTCCACTGCTAGCCACCATCCATCTTTGCTTATATTACAATTATAGTTTAATAAATTATCTAATCATACAATGTGATGTAAAAAGGAGTTATTTTGAAAACAGAAAAATATATTGTTCAACGACAAATAATAGATTATGATATTATATCGTCAGAAGAATAGATTATGATTATATGTTATCGTTTACTTATATAACAAGTCATTTGTTGGTATGAATGTAATATTACATTGATGTTGACTTTATAAGCAAAGATAGATAGTGGCTAGCAGTGGAATCCACGATGCGCGTTTCGTCTTATTTGTGACTCGTCAGTTGGACGCACCTCCATTTCAGAGTTGAGATTCACTATGGGACTCGAACCCTAGCCATTATCTATCTTTGCTTATAAAGCTTGTGACTTCAGGCAATATCAAGGCAGTCCGCACAGGATGCACATAAGCCAACAAAAGACTGATCAATTGTAGTATTAAATAACAATGGGAAGATACAAGTAAACAATATCAAATGAATTTGATGTTAACTTTGTTATTATTGTTAGTGATAATCTATTTCATTGAATAATCAGTGTATTCTAATCGAATAATTAATTGAATGTGTTATGATTATTTGCGACTTCAACTATTAAGATTTAGGGACCAGATACTCCCTCTTATTTGTACTGAAGTTGTTATATTATGTACGATTATAACAACTATTTTAATGAACAGGAAGAAGGGTGAGGACAATCGAATGTATTTGATGCGAAAATTACAGACTATCTCACTAAAATCTGACAACCATACAGTATACAGTAAATTTGCAAATTATTAATCAATTGTCTTAATCTTGACCATTCCTTCTGTGAATATCAGTCCATCGTCTCCGATTATTATTATCCATACATTTTCATACTAATTGCGTTTCGTTTCCGTTCTTTCTTTATTAATCTTCTAATGAAATATATTCTCTGCCTGATCATCGTCATACACTACTTATGTGGATGTAAGCAACCTACACTACACTATTATCTTGCTTTTTGAACTTATATTGAATATTTCATTGAAATGTTAGTAACATCTTTAACTGCAACAGTCTCATTTGAAATATTGGAATTAATAATGTGAACAGATCATGAGATACAGGAAAGTCATACAAATTTTATCCAATAAATTAAGAAACTGAACTAATAAGATAGACAGAAGGGGTTTTTTGTGGAGATTTAGCATTTTCATAGTTGAAAGCGTGAGTAAATTGAAGCTAGACCACCAGGGAAAACCTGGAAGCACTGGACGGCCGTTTTGTCCTATTTTAGATGGTCATCAATATCTTATATTGATAAAAAGAACATACAACTGTGGCTTTATACTCTTTCTTATCGCCAAACCACTGTTTCAGTGGTTGCTATTAAATTAAATAAGAAAAACTTGTCTGTGAACACATGGGATTAATGGAAAAATGTATGCAAATATCGTTTCAAATTTGTTTGTATTTAACGGAAAACTATTTTTTTTTAAATCACTGTATCGGCCATAGAAACTCTCAAAATTTCGATTCTCATGAAATGGTCATTTTGGTGTTGATGAATTATAGTTCTAAGAGTATGACATATATCCAACAGTTTGAAGAGTTTTCACGACATCGTTTGGATGTTTAATAATATTCATTCATAATCTTCAATATTTAAATATATAATGTCCAATTCCTTATAAAATGTGACATCCATTGATAAAGCAGCTAGACTGATGACTTTGTTGAGGATGTATTCTTGTACAACAAAAATCAATATTTTTTTTTCTAAATATTTGTACCCTTATTGATTATACAAACATTAAATCAATATATAAGAAAAATATTTATTAAAGTTTCAATAGTTTCTTAACATACCAATGATTGATTGTACTTTTAAATTATTCGATTGTAAATTAGTTTCAGTGTGAAGTTCTCCATTGAACACCTAGAAATGAAACTCACATTCAATAGACTTTAAATACATATATGATTTTAACAGTTGAGATTATGAATCAACTGAAGCTAGACCACTATGGAAATCCTGGAAACACTGGACAGCTGTTTCATCCTTTCGTGAGACTCCTCAGCAGTGCGCATCCACGATCCCGACTCACGAAATTAAAACCCAAGACCTATCAGTCTTGCGCGCGAGCGCTTAACTTGTGACTGGCTTGAAGAGGTATTCCCTGTAATTCTAGTGAGAAGCAGTGAGCAACAGAGTTCAACCACGTCTGTTGTAAGATAGTAAGTCACTGACTAAAACGTTGGACGGTTGCTCAATTTCGTAGGGTGGTTGAAGTGAGACATTAACGCCGTTGGGTGCCAACCAACTCAGTGATCTAGTGCTTAAGCGCTCGCGTGCGAGAGTGATAGGTCCTAAGTTCGAATCTCGCGAGTGCGGGATCGTGGATGCGCACTGCTGAGGAGTCCCACAATAGGACGAAACGGCCGTCCAGTGCTTCCAGGTTTTCCATGATGGTCTAGCTTCAATTGATTCATGATTTCAACCATAAAATAATCGAACTTGTTAAATGAGTTTAGTACTTATTTATTTACATACTTTTAAAGTCAAATAAAGTTGGAGTGTTTAAACGATTAAACAACAATTCAAATCAATGGCGTCTACCTATACTATGTGTAATTTTGATCTTTAAAGTAGTGAATACATTAAACCTTACATAAGGACATACCTAGCAAACTATTTCATTGATAAAAGAGTGATACGATTAGATAATAAGGCTAGTTCTTTTTAACGGATCATAGTAACAACTTCAGTTAACTAGTGAAACAGTATGATAATGAAAATTTTCCATCACTAGGCAAATGAATGGTTGACTTCAAGGGTTTGGATTTTTTTATGATGAAAGAAAATTATGTGATCATCTTACAGATCTGCAATAGATCGTCCAAATTGTTTTAAATAATCAGATCAGATAAGTAAGACTTTAAAAAACCGATTACCTGATACAGAGAGCTCAGTTGACAAGAATTAAAAGATAGAACAAATAAATAATAAAAAGAATCAGAAGGGGTTTTATGGAGATTTCAGTATTTTTCATAGTTGAAATCATGAGTCAATTGAAGCTAGACCACCATAGAAAACGTGGAAGCACTGGACGGCCATCTCGTCCTATTATGGGACTCCTCAACCACGTCTGTTGTGAGATAACAAATCAGTGAAGACAATTGGTGAGTGGTTGCTCAAACTTCGTGGATTGGTTGAAGTTAGACATTAACACCGTTGGATGCCGGCCATCTCAGTGGTCTATCGGTTAAGTGCTCTGGTGTGAGATTGGTAGGTCCTGGGTTCGAATCTCGCGAGTTCGGGATCGTGGTTGCGCACTGCTGAGGAGTCCCACAATAGGACGAAACGGTCGTCCAGTGCTTCCAGGTTTTCCATGATGATCTAGCTTTAATTGACTCATGATTTCAACTATGAAAAATAGTAAAGAGTTACTATGCCTGGCAAAACTTTAAAGTAATTATCTATATGGATAAATTGACAACTGAAAATGAGAGTCTAAATACAAGGTTATTAGACGTCACGTTTTCCTGTGTATGGATATTTATTTACAAAATTTTGTGAGAGAGAATAAAATATGGAATAAGTTTCTAACATCATAAAATTGTGAATGAAATAGTAATACTTCAAGAAAACAATGGATACGCTATTCACATCTTTGTGAACTGCCATTTTATGTTGACCAAAGTTATACTGGGAAATATGTCCTATCTGAGTAAGATTCTCGATTAGTTAGAGATTGAAAAAATTATTGAACGCTTTACTCGAATCCTAAGCTAGTCTCGTAACCCCCAAGCTAGAACTACAAAGCAACTTGAACACGAGAGAAAAGGCGCAAAATAGGCAAGAAGCACTTTACTCTGAAGGTTCATTCATATACAGAAAATGTAGAGTTTTTATAGAATTTAAGAAGTCCTTGGTTTTTCCTGAAAACTCTGGAATGCTACTAAATATAGTAGCAGTGTATTGATCAGCCAATCAGAAACTCTTCATGTGACTTTTCATTTTCGTGATGTTTCTAGCAAAATTTCTAGTCAAACGCTGATTGGATAAAATGCTTCTTAATTTTTTCCTGATCTTGTCATGTCTATTGCGAGAAATTTTCAGGATCGCCCCAATAATTAGTACCTGAGGGCACGATAGAAAAAGAACCAAAATCCCTAAAATACCTTTGTTAGATCTTCTTTTAGGTGTGGAATGTTCCTCGTCGTTACACTGATATTTGTATCATTCATAGTGTTCCTAGTTTCACCTTTCTTGATTATATCTAAAAGTTATAATGAGGAGTGACAGCAACTTGGACTGAGTCCAGTTTGTACAAGGACTTGTGTTATTATTCATGTTTGCCTCCACAGAATATGATCAGCTTCAAAATGCGACAATAAAAAAGTAAATGGTTAACAATGCCACCATGTTTATTTGAGTGTTTAGTATATAAAATTCATTAAGAAGGCAAATACTTACTTCTTTTTCTGGAATATGTTGACACAAGTCATTGTGTACACTTTCAAGTGTATCATTCACTCTAGACGAGTTGGTTTCAACTTTTGCGTTTACTGTATCACACGTTTGTAGATTATTTTCTTGAACTGATGAATTAGGTACATTACTATGAGGCTTTGAATGAATATGTTCAGTTTGATAAACTCTCATTAAATGAGAAGTGATTAACGAATTTAATTGACTTTCTAAATTTAATAAACGACGTTCAGTTGTTGAAGATAATGTAGAAATATGTTGGTCACTTTGTTCACAGGTTACCGAATGCATCTATGATGAAAAACAAACAAAGACTTGATCTTATGTATTGACCATAAGAGGCTTAAGAAAATTATTCAAGTTTTCTTGAAATTTATATGAAATTTCATCGAAAAAGAAACACAAAGCGCTTATGGAGAAATTAGTCGACAAATATCTAAATCACAGGGGGTTTCGTGGATATTTCAGTAATTTTTTATAGTTGAAATCATGAGTCAATTGAAGCAAGACTGGTAGATCCTGGGTTCGAATCTCGTGAGTGCAAGATCGTGGACGCATACTGCTGAGGAGTCCCACAATAGGACGAAACGGCCATCCAGTACTTCCAGGTTTTCCATGGTGGTCTAGCTTCAATTGACTCATGATTTCAACTATGAAAATATCTAAATGTAGCATAGTCAGTCAATTGTGATTAACACGAAACATTGCATGAACGTTTATTAATTCAAACTAGGTACAATATTAATTTATTACTGTTTCATTGTTTAAATTAAATGGGCCAAAGAACGTTGAAGCAGCTTTCTTGTTTTGATGAAGAACTTTTAGAATGCAAAACGTTTCAGGTTCAACAGTTAAGGTAATTCATATCACTTGAATCTGATCTAGCCATCCAGATAAATTGATAACAGTGATTACTGATAATTCAATGTTTAGACTATTTCTTCACTTAAATGTATTGTTTAGACTACAGTCATTAGTTATGACACCGTTCATGCAACTAAATACATGGTTCACTAATATCTCTAATTAAATTTCCATGACATATATGCTGAAATGTATACAATTAATCCTAAATAAACGCTAATTTCCAAAGTAAAATGCATTCCGATTGAAGATAGTGATGTAAACACACTTAATTATTTTTCAAAGTTGAAATCATGAGTCAATTGAAGCTAGAACACCATTGAAAACCTGGAAGCACTGGACGGCCGTTTCGTCGTATTATTGGACTCCTCAGCAGTGCGCATCCACGATCCCGCACTCGCGAGATTCGAACCCAGGACCTACCGGTCTCGAGCCAGAGCCCTTAACTGATAAAGTTCCATAGTAGGACGAAACGGCCGTCCAGTGCTTCCAGGTTTTCAATGGTGATCTAGCTTCAATTGACTCATGAATTCAACTATGAAAAATACTGAAGTCTCCACAAATCCTCTTTTGACACTTAATTATGTTGGGAAAATTCTGTTGAAAATTCTGATATGAAATTTTCAAACACCAGTCTAAATACTTACATTTACAAACTAACAGAAAAAACAACACCCCTGTGCCTCGCTCTAACGTTTATCTGTCCAAGTTATACTACTTCACTTGGGCATATCCTTATATTTTATTCTGGAAATAACTAGACTTTGCTGTATTCACATCTGGTTTATATAAATTTTAGTTTCCTGTACAACAAATGACAATCTCGGATTTTTTCCATAGCATCTACTGATCAGAATGCAATTCTTTCAGTAAAGCTTTAATGTAATTGTGGGAATAAACGGACAGTCATCTGTTATATAAACTGAAACAAATGATATATTAAAAAGAATATAAATTTGTATTACAGCTCCAATAACTGAACTCTTAAACCTACTACATCATGGAAATTAAGTGTTATCAAACAAACTACTGGTTAACAGTAAGTAGTTCGGTTGTATGAAATATTCAACTGATTTACGACTAAATTATTAAGTTATAAAGTTGACCACATCTTTCAGAACTTTTAAATGTTTGATAACTGATACTTTAAGTGTGATGAAAAACCTAGGCTTGTAAACGAGTAAAGGTGACGAACTGATTATCCACAATCTCATAAATAAATAGAGGATGTTAGGTTTCAAACTGTAGTACATCAATAGGAGGATATTAAAAAAATTAATCATAAAAGGATATTGTTCCCCGTGGTTTCTAAAAGATTAATCGTTTGTTTTGTCCATTAGGTGAAGTGAAGGAAATATTCAACTGAATGTTAATATTATTCAAAGTAGAACCATTTTCAAAACAAACAATGAACGTTGAATCCAATCAAATTTGTTTATTTAATATAGAAGTCAGAAAATGATCAAACAAACTTCAGCTAATTACATTTTTAACTTCTTTATCGGCAGAGTTTTTTGACCAATGTATTTGATCTTCATTACAGTTCAGTTTCTCGTCTTTTTCTTCAAGCAAATGATCAGATCCCTGTATATGAAAAGAACATACATTCACTACTATTATAAGTAGAATAAAATTTAGTAAAAAGTAATGTTGATCTTGTCATACGTTTTATTGGATTGTTTTAATAATATGTGATAAACCTTTCAACGGAACTAAATCTACATTGATCACTCTCGTAGTTGCATGATATAATTTTATAAATACTAATCTTATCCACAAAGATGGATAGTGGCTAACAGTGGAATACAGGACACGCGTTCCGTCCTATTTGGGACTCGTCAGTTGGATGTGCCTGCATCTCAGAGTTGACGTTTACTCTGGGACTCAAATCCAATACCTTTCGCATCATACGCCATCTCGTTATCCACTTAGCTACTGAGTCCTGATAGCTACCTGCTTGTGCAATGGAGTGAAGTCTAAATTCACTTGGTATTATTTGTTTAAATCTTCCTATTGATGTTTAGGACTGCAAATGACCAGTCTCTTATTGGCATATGTACATACTGTGTGTATTGCCTCGGTATAGCCTCAATTCACAAGCATTATAAGCAAAGATGGATAGTGGTTAGCAGTGAAATCCAGGACGAGCGTTTCGTCCTATTTGCAGTCATAAAAATCAATGGGAACATTCAAACAAATAATACCAAGTGAACTAATCTTATCCCTTCATTTATTGATTTGATTGTTATGCTAAATGTATAATTTAGCAAATCAATAATACGCAAAACTGTAAACCGGTATTTTCAACATCTTTACAGAAATTGAGTATAAGTTTAGTGAAGAAGTGAGTAAAATGATGTACTTGTATCAATATTAACCATAACCATTTGTTTGTGTTGTGGTATACGATCGTTCGAGTCTGATACTGAGATATACATTTCCGACTTGTGCATCCAAACCAGTTACTTGAGCGAGAAAGTCAAGAGTGAACAGGAAGATACGAGCAACTCATTAGCAAACATAGATACATGTCCCTCAGAAAATAAAGTCACATTTTCAATCAGTAGCGTATGTTCATTTTTTAGGAAGCAAATCCAAACCTTGACTAATGGCGTGAACTCGTCAATGTCTCTCAGTATTTGATGATTAGCCTGTTTGATAGGCACAGCGTATCACTTCACCAGTGATCAGCTTTGAGAGGTCATTCCTGTGGTTCTAGTAAGAACATATGATCAGTGGTGTTCAACAGCATTCGGAGTAAGAAACGTATCACCGATGCTAATGTATATATTTAGAATCAACTTAAATTAGAATTGTAAACTACTGAATTTTAACTCGTGAGTTTGAAGGTTAAGCGCCGGCGACGAGATCTGTAGATTATGGTTTCGATCTCCATCGAGCATATGGATGCACTTTGTTAAGAATCCTCAGAATTCAATCGAAAAGCTTTCTGGTAATTCCTATTTTTTGATGAATGCTTAAGTACATTTAGATCGTGGTTCTAATTCTCAATAAAATGGAACAATCTCCACAAACCCCTCTAATTTAATAATGGATACCTACTTGACAGATTGATTATGTCAAGTTACTGCAGAAAAGTCTATAGTTTGTACATATATTTCCCTTTCACCAAAGAAATAATAACTGTAATCAGTAAATGAACCTACATGAATTAAACCTCCATTCATTCATAAATAAATATTTAAAACTTACTAACAAACTGGAAATAGGAATCATATCGAGAAATCTATTCAGTTCTAAAAAAGGGAGAAAAACAAATTTCAAATCAGTGTTTTTCATTTAATATGTTTGTTTACAAATGCACATGAGACAAACGTAGTATTCCCTGTCATCGTCATCATTATCATCATTCAGTTTAAAAGCATGTAAAACCTTTTCTTCCTAACAGAAGTCTCCATATCGATATGTATCAGCGCCTAGATCTAGAGGAATTACTTCTTTTGAATATGCTGAAACATTAAGTTGCAACCAAATGGCAAACATTTTCTGATTAAAAGTAATTTATATTTTCTAAATGAAAATAATATATTTGTAATATCCCAATGACTAGAAAAATTAGATTTTCTGACGTTTCGTGACTCTGTGTAAGCCGCTTCTTCAGAAAATAAATGACCAAATCGATTTGGTTAGTATATATATATATATAATATTACAACTATATTACTTTTATTTATAACATTCTACCCGATGCTCATTTTTCTTCTGGTTAGCGCTTCTTTAGCGAGTCGGTTTTCTACGGGATGGGGTCGCTAATCCCATGCCCAACCCTCCTCCTTTACCCGGGCTTGGGACCGGCAGTAGCCCCCAGAGAAGCTACACGCAACAACAAATGCAGGAAAAACGACCAGTGTAGCAGCAGCCTCAGCAGCAGTAAATCTCAATATAAACAAAGGGAACGACAAGACCCTCCGATACAATACAACATGCAACAATCAAATTACACTTGACGGAGAAGCTTTGGAGGATGTGGGCAGCATCATTGATGAACACGGTGGATCTGATGCAGATGTGAGGGCGAGGATCGGCAAAGCAAGAGCAGCATACTTACAACTGAAGAACATCTGGAACTCAAAACAATTGTCAACCAACACCAAGATCAGAATTTTCAATACAAATGTCAAGACAGTTCTACTGTATGGGGCGGAGACGTGGAGAACTACGAAAGCCATTATCCAGAAGATACAAGTGTCTATTAACCGTTGTCTACGCAAGATACTTCGGATCCGATGGCCAGACACTATCAGCAACAATTTACTGTGGGAGACAAAAAAACAGATTCCAGCGGAGGAAGAAATTGGGAAGAAGCGCTGGAAGTGGATTGGGCACACTTTGAGGAAATCACCCGATTGCGTCACAAGACAAGCCCTCACATGGAATCCGGAAGGTCAAAGGAGAAGAGGAAGCCCAAAGAACACATTACGCCGAGAATTGGAAACAGACATGAGAAGAATAAACAAAAAATGGATAAAACTAGAAAAGAAGGCCCAGGACAGAGAGGGTTGGAGAAAGCTGGTCGGTAGCCATTGGGAGTAACAGGCGTAAGTAAGTAAGTAAGCAATGCTCAATTTACTTAAAGTTATCAAGTCAAACCTCGGTAATGATACCTATAACTTATATTTTATTATGAATAAATTCCTAGTGTTATTTATGAGAACATGTGATTGATCTCAAAGTTATTTAATTTCAAAAGACCTGGCTTTTCACATAGTTTCATGAACAGTGTTTGCAATTAGATCACTATCACTTATGTCTATACAAGTAGTATACAACGCTAGTCAGGAATAGAATGTTTGACATCAGAAGGTCAGGAAGATAGAGAAGGAATGAACAGGAACAGAAAGCAAATGGTATGGAACTGAAGGAACAATGAAGTCTAAGACGATTGACTGACATTTGCAAAAGGAACAGTAAAGTTTGAGACAATTGATTAACATTTTGCAAATCAAGTATTTACTGTATGGTTCTCAAATTTTACTAAGATGTTCTGTAATTTTGTGTTCAAATACATTTGGTTGTCCCCACTTGTGTTCTCGTTCAGTACACCATTTACATTCATATGTGAAAAACAATTAAATCAACCAAGGCAGTTTATGAGTCAGTGATAACAACGAAACAGATCGCACAACTCACACCAATAAATGTATATAACAGGTACTAAGATGACTGGTGCATTGTGGTGATTAGCAATTGTAGTAATGGAATTAATTAATAAATAAATAATAATAATAATAACAGAAACCGTTTAACGACATGGGAAGTGGATTAAAAATCGTTAAAATAAATACGAAAATCACAATCATGAAAATTACATAATACGGAGTAGGTGGATAATAGATTTAAATATTGTAAGTGTAAAGAAGAGATATGAAAAGAGTGAAGAACAAACAAAAGGTAGGAAGAATTTGTACCGTTGTCCATTAGGTTTCTTCTCCTTAAAGAAGAGTCAAGAGTATTTTAACACGAAAACTACGGTTTTATTCTTGAACCTCTATAGCTCTTGCTACATGTAGAAGTCTAGATCAAAGACCCTTAAGAAATTAAGATATAAAACATACAATACCGACTGCTTTAATTCTATCTAATACTTAATCACTACTGATCAAATCCGATAATACGGAATTGAGTATTGACCTAGGCTGACCCCTTTCTAAACCACAAAGGGAGGCTATTGGAATATTGTTCGCTAAATTGCCTGGTTGTATAACTAGTATACGTTTTTACATAGAAACAGTCAAACTGGTAAATACACAATGAAGTGCCAAAACCAGGCAACATATCTTTTGTTTGAGCAATCACTTCCAATTGAGTTAGAAGGTCTGTTTAGTTTGAATAAAATTACAAAAGTTTGTTTACATGTGATTGACTGAATCCACTAGTATGGATGGAAATACAATGTTATAACTTTACTCATTCATGACTCAGAGCATGAACATTTTTTACATTTAAAAAGTATTCTCCTAAAATTCGACTGGATTAACAATGAAACAATCTTATACTGAAACCATTAATCATATATCTACTACAGGATTATGGATCAGGTTTCAAGGCATTCTTTCTTTATGAGAGCTTGTAATAGCGCCCTGGTGCACAAAAAATGATACGAGAGGCATTTGAATCTATAGTCTAGTAACTGAAAGCTGAAAAACGTAGCAACTGAGCCACCACACAATAAAGATAACTAACACTGAGATGTACAGGTTTGGGGATCAAGTAAATATATTTGATCTACCTGGCAAATCGGCTAAGACGTCAATTTGGGTTGAACGGCCCATTCTGTCAACGTGATCTAATATTTCTAATTGAGGAAGGCCCTGAAGTAAATCTAGCCGATAATCTGAAGGAAAAAAAAACCAATAACATATGCAAATTGAGAAATACAATAGATGTGTAGGTATGTCGCATAATGATACATTATCTCGAATGATATCCATCAATCTTCTAACGATATTAATTTAGCAATATTTTTGAAACGTAGTCTGATTGTAAAAATGATGGATTACTCTAAGGAAGTAAATAAGCTGTAAAAATGATGTTAACTGTAGCCTTTTTACAAATAAATTCATAAATATTTCAAAGAATATACGAAAGATATAATATAGCTCACACGAAAAATTCTTATTTCATCTTAATTCTACGGGGGCTATGATACTGCACGGATGTCCAAACCGAAGCAGGTGGTTTTATTAGGGGGCCACACCCGGAGCCTTTGACCTAAAGGTCTGATCCACAAGCCAGTGGAGCATCGTGAAGAGATGCAATTCCATGGTAGCCGGTGACCAACAATAGGTTCATACGCCATTTGTTCCATCAGAACACTGGAGCTCATGTGCACAATTGGTTTGGAATCAGGGTTTCCCAACTCTCCTAGATGGACTCATCGTGTCCAATGGCCCGGTTAAAGCGCCAAAAATTTGCTTTTTGTACTCTCAATTTCGTAAACAACAGTATTGCTGCGATAAGGCAGTGAGTAGGACTTGACTGGCAGAGGCTGTATACGTGTAGCTGTGTGAGAGCATTTCAAAAGAGAAGGCGGACCCTTCTCACTCTCGACCGTTCCCGGGCATTTAGGGGCAATGTTGCCTTATGATTGTGAAACACAGTTTTATAAGGAAAGGTTATTACACAGGTTGTTATTGTCTGGTCATATATTTATTTAAAAAATTCACTGGATAAGTTGAAATGATCATGTGGGAATATCCATAATAGAGACAGATACTAGGTAGAAACGGCAAGTCGGTTAGTGACGTTTTGTACAGTTATAGTTAAATGCCCCAGACTAAAAGAATACATATGTATGCACTGTTAGTTCTTTCCCAAGTCTTGACTTTATTTATCATGTCGTAAATTTCATCCACTAATTTATTCCATTTCTATTCAGGACTGAAAAAAAGAAGGCGATTTAGCAGAGAAAGTTTTTTGTTCGTTTATTTCATTTACTTAAGCTGAAAAATCGCATTTATAGTCGACTCAATGTGCAGCTATCAGTTTACTTGCTCGTCTAGAGAAGGTTATATTGGCCACACAGAGTGAGCTCTTTCGAAATGCTTCTCCAAAGTTTATCCGTCCTGGCTCTCCGAAGGATTACAGTGGTCAGTCAAAAGCACAATCTTAGAGCATCGAGTCAATTCCTGCCACATATAGTTGACAGAATTAGCTTAATAAGAATGCACACAAAAAGCTCATGTAAATCAGAGGCTATTGCGATCCATCAGTTTAAGCCTAACCTTTGCGAACAACAACAGTATGTTCAGTCTCTAATTCTTCCATGGCCCTAACCTCCTTTTCTATCTTCCCAAATCTGTCGTCTTCAATTACTTTTATTTATTTTATCATTTCCACTCCTTCCCAATTATTTTCACAAATATTAATTAGCATTTATTAAAAGTTTTAATAATTCTGTTTTTAATAGCTACCAAGTGAACGATTGTCCCACCCTACAACATTTTTACTAACCGATTATTCTATACTTTCCTTTCAATATCTCATATTCAATTCTTCAAAATATACCACTCCAAGATTTTAAATAAATAGCACCTTTCTATTTCACTATACAGCATTATTTTAGCAAATAAAATTGACTATAAATACGATTGTTCAGCTTAGGTAAATGAAATCGTAGAAAATAAAGCTTTCTTTGCTGCATTGCCTTCCTTTTTCAATGACACAAATTGTCTCTTTCATTATTGCTTCAGGATTGATTATCGAGACATTCTCAACTTTTCAAAAAACTCAGAATATGATAAAACTGTCAAATTGTTCATAATGGTTTACATTTTACTCGATATGTTTTTCCCTCAATGACATATTCAACCTAAGTGAATACTAGCGCAATTTCTCACTCGGCTAGATTGTTGCCGATTATTGAAAGACTATCTGCTTAGATATCCAGAGATTTATTAAGCCCCCGTATTAAGCATACAGGTGATGGAAAGTTTAACTATGACTTAACCTTAGTTACATCTAACAACTATGTGTCATATTTACTTCGGCCAGTTTGTAAGCATTGATTATGCGCTTCACTGTAGTTTGTGGTATCTTACAAATTCTCGTTGACGATCAACATACTAGGGTGGAGGAATGCTGATCAGTAACACCAATAAGTTACCATTATAAAATGTTATTTCCTAATTACCTTAGAGCGAACACTTGTTTAATTCCGTAAAGGTTTAATATCTCAGTGTACAGTCCTAAAATATGACCAAACAATTATAAAATTGTATATATAGTAAATAAGCATTTGATCCAAACCACTTAAAAGTAGAATCTAACAACTTATGAAATTTAGAGATTGTAAAGATTTGTAGCTAAGGTGAATGATTTAGATGTTTTGTTCTCCCACCTGGGTGGTTCGATCGTGAAACGTTCATAGTTCTTTTGAACAACATCATCAACACAAAATTCAGGTAGAAGTGAAGTATTCGAATTTCTCCACAGGACATACTGTGAGTCATATGCAGATGATGTTGTTCAGGAAAACAATGAAAGCCTCACAACTAAACCATCCAGTTACGCGGACGAAACCACCTATAATATATTTAAATGATTGTTGTTAACGAAAGAACAACGATTTTATCTTGTACAAGGACTCAAATATAGGCATTTTTCAGCTATCTTCAATTTGAATTAAGATAAGAAACTAGCCAATCAAGCTGGATTTGTGAAAACAATTTTAGGCCAAGAATCTATAATTACAAGACTTTATACAGCAACATTTTTAGAATGACGATTAACCAGTAACTAAAGATTTTCTCGGGACGAAACTAATTGTATTAAATATTTTTGTTTCACTTCGTTTCAGTAGCTAAAAGAATAAAAAAAACAATTATGACATAATCATAATAGTCATAATAATAAGGGATGTATAGAAACTAATAGCGAAACAATGTTGTGTACCTTTTACAGGATATGTGCAATTAATAAATGCGTGTATAATTAATGAATTAATATTGTGTTGTAGTTTGATGCACCAATCTTGTTAAAACAAGTGATAAAAGCTAAAAATACCTCCCTGATTCATGAACACTAAAGTGAATGACAAGTTATATTGCCATGTTGGCTGACAAAAAGTACTAGCGATGAATATCTGGATAGGGGTGGTCAAAACTGGCGTTGAATTGTGCAAGAAATGTGAGAACTAGCTAAAAGCCAGTCGTTAATCGGCACATGATAAGTTTGTTTTGAACAATTAATAACATAGCAAGAAGTATAGACTTTTCTTCAGCTTAAACTTCATACATACTAGTTTACCATTACTACAGAATACAATAGCAACGAAAAAAAGTTTATAGGTACAGTTAGAACAAATATATGTGTTTACCTGGTTCGCAACAAACAGGATTACTATCTCTAGTTTGTGGATTGAGCAAAACTAATTGGCGCAAATTAACTAAATTTTTTAGGCACTCCAAAATATGTGACTTGGACTGGATTTGATTTCCTTGTAATATAATAGTAGTCAAACTATAACCAGGGCCAAATAGTTTTTTCAAACCAACTAGGCTAGTTATTTCATTGAAAGAAACATCTAAGCGGACTAAACAACTGGAAAAAACAAGAAAAACGAGGAGCAGAAGAGAGCTTGCAAATTAAAAGTAGTTCACAGTTAAGAGGATAAGATGCCTAAACATGACTAGACACAATGCCACTAGTGTGAATAATGAATAAACTTGCCGCTACCCACACAAAAAAGTAAGAGGTAAGAGGAGTACACCGAATAACTGTTTGCATGGAATTACTTAAACTAAAGACAGACTACGTGAATGATTTTGTTGGTTTGGATGTCATCGAAATGCAACCACGACCAAGTCATGTCCAGTAATAAGAATTCGAACTCCGCAATGAAATGGCTTTGTCTTCAGCTAGCTGAACCTATTATTTCTGTGAACGTTTAGATAAGTTCGATAAAGTATGAATTAGTTTCTTCAAAATCTGCATGAGCGCCTGTTTACAGTGAAACTATCGTTCTGTGAATTGTTGTACACAATTAAAATATGACTGACGTCCATTGCGATTTCCAAAAATTTTCAAACAGTAACTCCGATATACTTGCTAATCGTCAACAGATATCGTCTATTAATTGATAGACTATATCTGTGCTCTTTTAAAAGAGCACTACATGACTACACAACCAAATATGTGTATATAACTCTCGAAAAGTGTTCTAAACTAACATACAACGTTGAAAAAAGATATTCACCAGAGTTGAATTTAAATACAGAGATGAGCATTAGGACTAACTTCAAGTTGTCTAACGAATCAATGAATCGAATCTTATTCGACGACAAGTTCAAAACTCGAAGATGCTGCAAGTTGTCGAGTCCACATATTCTAGTGATATAATTGGAAGATAAATCCAAATAACGCAACAACGCCGTTCTTGTGAGTCCATTTATCTCTGAAATGTGATTGTGATGCAGATTTAACACAGTTATTTTCGGGGACAAATTAAGACGCTCAATATTATCGATCCCAGAATTAATGAGTTCTATTTCAGTTTCCATACTTATTTCTTGTAATGGATTCGAGAATTGTCCCGAAACGTGGTCATACGAAAACGCTGAAAAGTAAACGACATTCAAAAAGTCGCACACACTACAGTCAAGTCAATAGCCTGGGAAAAAAAGTACAATGCTCAATAACTTGTAACATTTATATTGAACTTGTTAATATCGACCAATTCTTCCTTCCCCCTACTAATGTTGGGCTTGAGCTTTACATTTTCGATTTTATCTGCTACAACAGTCTAGTTTTTCCGCTTCACCAGTTCGAGTGAATTTGAAGTCAATTATAAGTAATTATATCCCGAGTGTAAATAAATAATTCACACTAGGATAGTAGGACCAGCAAGATTGTCAACTAATACGTTATTGCTCAACCTATGGTCTCTATGATGTCGATAAAACCTCCTTTGTAACGTTTACTGAATCCAAAGTTACCCTAAGTGCAGAGCGCTTATCTTATATGATTTGCTCTTTATACAGACGGCATCGTTTAACCTCAGTGATACCCTCTCCTAGCATGGCACAGTAATTTTGTTACTATTCCTTATCGAAGACTACCCTACTTCATTATAAGCTACTATTCGAAACTCGGACGTTGGATAAAGTCAGGAGTTTTGTCAAGCGTTTTCGTCTCCAACTTCCTGCCTCGTTGCGATCTATGATCTTGAGATTTTACTTCAAAATGCTAACTCACCACATTTCACTTTCAATAGATAGTGGGGTATTAGCAAAAGTCAGTAATTTCATTGGTGTGTGAGCTCGGGTCGTTGCTCCCACAGTCAAGTGTTTGGCTGAGCCGGTGTTTGACGATTCGGATATCCCGTTGGGGTCCTGCATAGTTGATTACAATCGGGACTTATAACTCTCTTCCATTAGTCTCGTCTATGTATTTTTCTACACTGTGTGTGTGAGTGTACTAGGATCGTGAACAGAAGTGATTTGATATAAACTAGGTGTGGTGCATATGTAATGTTGGATCACAGACACATTGAACCCATACACCACAGAAATTACATTTAAATGCCAAGTCGCTGACTTTAAAGATTGACGGGCAGGCAATTAAATTATTGTTTTTGTACCATCTCTCCGTAGTATAATTTTGCAACATAGGCAGTTTGTGGCTCTGTTTTTCTCCATTATTTTTTTGCTTATTCCATTTTGGTGTTTGAGTTGAGTGATCCATGTTGTGCAGATTAAACGTTTTCTGGTGTTGCCTTGAGCTTTCTTTTGATCCTGTTACTCGAAAAAGGGAGTTTCGTCTTTTTATTATTGCTGAAATACGATGAACTCCGTTTGGGGCCCCTCTGGAGAAACTGCAGGTCCCAAGCCTGGATAAAGGAAGGGGGTTGAGCCTGGGGTTAGCGACCTCATTCTGTAGAAAACTAACTCGCTATTTAAAAACTAACCAGAAAAAATAATTCAAACCATTTAAACTCTGCCCTCCGAGTTGAAAGAATAATTATGACGCTTCGTGATGAGAGCCTAAGGGGGTGCTTAGGATCAGTGAAGCCCACTGAACGCAGGTAGGACAACAACGACTAGCTTCGGAGGAGCTTCCGTTATATTCAGGTCATGAAGAAAATGCCCCACATACACAGTGAGTTGCATTGATGCTGTCTAAACAAGTCAATCTTCGAGAAGTGCTCAACAAAGGAATTGACCATTCTGATGGGAGATCTAAATACCAAATTTAGAATGGACAACAGCGGATATGAAGACATCATGAGATTGCATGGACTAAGAAAAGGAAACGAAAATGGTGAGAGATTTGCAAACCTATGTGCCTTCAATAAACTGGTCATAGGTTGCACCATATTTCCACATAAACACATACAAAAAGCCATACGGATTTCACCGGATCACACTTCACAGAACTAAATCGACCATGTCTGCATCAATAAAAATTTCAGGAGGACGATCGAAGATGTGAGAACCAAGAGAGGAGCTGATATAGCATCCGATCATCACTTGCTGGTCGCCAAGATGAAATTAAAACTTAAGAAGCACTGGACAACGGGGCAGACAACATCACAAAGGGATAATATGGCTTTCCTTCAGAATACTAACAAACTCGATAAATTCAAGATAGCCCTCAACAATAAGTTCCAGGCCTTTCATGACCTACTCAATAGAGGGGACTACCGTGTAGAACAACTGGAAAGGGATCTGTTATATCTTGTGGTTTGTGATAATACCTCCTATTAGCGAACAGTGAATTATCGATCAAACCAATGACGCACAAAACCGGTGATAGCAGCCTAGACTACTTATCCGTCCTACTTTGTGCCTAGCACAACCAGTCAAATCCAGAACACCAATTAAAGCCTCTGGGGTATGAATCGATTATTTCAAACATACTGGGTTTATATTACCTGTCGGACAGATCACATCGTACCATAAAATATGAGACAACATTTATACAAGATTCTGCCAAATGTGACTGTGATTAAGGGATTTAGTAATTGATAGACTAGGGATAACTCAAGAACGGTTAGTTGTATAATAATAGTCTATGGGTGAAAAGAAAGTTTATAATAAAAGAGAAGCGAATATGAATTGTTTAGTTATTTAACAATTATACACTAAAAATATATGTATCACATTGGTCCATAAATATTTCTCAATAATTACCATTCATAATGCTCATCGGGACATAACAGGACCAAGGAGATAATCACTTCAACATGTCAGGATGTTCTGGGTCACAAGAAGCACCATTACAATTAATGGATCACTGTTGATACACTGGATAAGATCAAAGAAAGGAGGAACAAGAATGCAGGAATCAACATCAGCCGAACCAGAACATAGAAAGCCAAGGCACAAGCTGAATACACAGAAGTAAACAAGCAAGTGAAGAGTGACATCAGAGCTGACAAACGTAAATATGTGGAAGATCTAGCAATGGCAACGGAAAGGCCTTCAAGAAAAGGAAACATGAGACAACTGTTTCATGCCACAAAGAAGTTCTCTGGAAACTATCGTAAATCAGAACAACCAGTGAAAAGCAAGGAAGACAAGGTAATCACCAACATTGAAGAACAACGGAACAGGTAAGTAGAGCACTTTATGGGACTCTTAAATCGACTGGCTTCACTGAACTCATCCGACATTGAAGTAGCACCCACAGACCTCCCAATCCATGTTGGCCCACCGACACTTGAAGAGATCAGTATGACCATCAACAAATCAAGAGCGGCAAAGCAGTGGGACCAGAAAACATTCCAACAGAGGCACTGAAAGCAGATGTAGCAGCAACTGCAAAGATACTCCACATTCTCTTCAGTAATATTTGGGATGAAGAACAAGTACCAACAGACTGGAAAGAAGGACTTCTGATCAAAATACCAAAAAACGGCGATCTCAGCAGGTATGATAACTACAGAGGCATCACTCTTCTTTCAATACCAAGAAAAGTCTTTAACAGGGTATTGTTAAACAGAATAGAGGACTCTATGAACGCCAAACTCCGAGATGAATAGGCTGGATTCCGTAAGGATCGATCGTGTGCAGACGAAATCGCAACTCTATGGATCATTGTGCAACAATCGATTGAATGGAATTCATCACTCTACATCAACTTCATTGACTCTGAGAAAGCATTTGATGATGTAGACAGGACAACACTATGGAGGCCTCTTCGACACTACGGCGTGCCTGAGAAGATAGACAATACCATTCGGAATTCCTATGATTCATAAAACTATAAAATCGTGCATGGAGGACAACTCACTGACTCGTTTGAGGTAAAGACCGGTGTCAGACAGGGTTGTTTACTGTCACCCTTTCTTTTTCTCCTGGTGATCTACTGGATCATGAAGACATCAACATCTGATGTGAAGCATGGGATACAATAGACAACTAGGATGCAGCTGGACACACTTGACAGAGAAGCTTTGAAGGATTTAAAAACATTGACATATCTGGGGAGCATCATTGGTGAACACGGTGGATCTGATGCAGATGTGAAGGCGTGGGTCGGCAAAGCGAGAGCAGAATATCTACAATTGTCAACCAACACCAAAGTCAGAAATTTTTTTGAATGCAAATGTCAAGACACTTCTACTGTATGGTGCAGAAACTTGAGAACTGCGAAAGCCATCATCCAAAAGTTACAAATTTTATTAACAGTTGTCTATGCATAATACTTAAGATCAGTTGGCCAAACACTATCAGCAACAGCCTACTATGGGAGAGAACAAACCAGATTCCATTGGAGTAAGAAATCAGGAAGAAACGCTGGAAATGCACTGGGCACACTTTGAGGAAATCACTCAAATACGTCACAAGACAAGCCCTCACATGGAATTCTCAAGGTCGAAGGATAAGAGGAAGCCCAAAAAACACATTACCCTGAGAAATGGAGAATATCATGAGAAAAATGAACAACATTTGGATGGAAATACAAAGGAAGGTCAAGGACATTGTGTGTTGTAGAATGATGGTCTTCGGCCTATACTCCACTGAAGAAAACAGGCGTAAGTAAGAAACAGGTAACCTTAATTGCAACCTCACCCCCGACAATTCTAGCAGGCAACTTCATGTGGATCCAGTAACTTATTCGTAAGCATATATGTATATATTCATGTTGTAGTTGAAACAGCTAGGAGGGGAGCAGTTGATGAAGACTGCCAAACCTATCAAACAGTGATTCTATCTTCTTCTGATTATGGTCACAGTTGCTGTTTTATTTGTCTGCCATCAGGGTGAAAATGCAATACATATACTTTGGAGCACTTAAATATTCCATTATGTCAGTGGAAAGGCTGAAATTTCCGGTTATCGGTGAGATCAACAAAACCACATTAAACTCACTACCATAAATACCGAAGGAAGGTTAGGTTTTCCTGCCACTATGCGTGGATATGGTTAAATACAACGACATTGCTTCCTAATAATAGACATCATAAAGAAACCATTCCGTCAATATAAACAGTAAAGAAAATCGGAAAAGTTCCAATCTAGCATGGTGTTCTAAAAATTAATTTGTGACATATAGG